TAAGATAGTGAGGTTTTGTTTATTTTATTTTATTTTTCTAATTCTTACCCAAGGATATTTTTTCATTTATCTTTCAGATGGGGCAGGGAAGAGAAACATCAGTGTGAGAGAGACACATGGACTGGTTGCCTCCCACACGCCTGGACCAGGGTTGCGGACGAACTGCAACCAAGGTACATGCCCTAGACTGTTCATGGTATTCCATCGTGTATATGTAGCAGAGCTTTTTATCCATTCATCTATTGATGGACACTTGGGCTATTTCCAGATCTCAGGGGTACATATATTCTTTCTGATTGGTGTTTCAGGCTTCTTTTTTTTTTTTTTTTTTTTTATCCTCACCCGAGGACATTTTTCGATATTTTGTTCAGATAGAGTGAGACGGAGAGAGAGAGAGAGAAACATCGACGTGAAAGGGACACATCGAGTGGCTGCCACCCACACGACCCAACCAGGGCCGGGGACAAACTGCAACCAAGGTACATGCCCTTAGCGGGAACCAAACCCGGGTCTCTCCGGACCGCAGGCCGACGCTCTAACCGCTGAGCCAAACCGGCCAGGGCTGTTTCAGGCTTCTTAAGATCTATTCCTAGAAGTGGGATTACTGAGTCAAATAGAGTTCAATTTTTAATTTTTTGAGGAAACACCATATTGTTTTCCATAGTGGCTGCACAGTCTGCATTCCCACCACCAGTGTACTGGAGTTCCCTTTTCTCCATACCCTCGCCAGCACTTGTTTGATGAATTGTTGTTTGCAGCCATTCTGGCAGGTGTGAGGTGATACCTCATAGTTGTTTTAATTTGCATCTTTCTGATGATTGGTGATGTTGAGCATTTTCTCATATGTCTCTTGGCCATTTGTATTGTCCTTTTTGGAGAGGTGTCTATTTAGGTCCTCTGTCCATTTTTCAATTGGGTTCTTTGTCTTCCTTTTGTTGAGTTGTATGAGTACTCTATATATTTTGGAAATTAACCCCTTATCTGATGTATCATTGGCAGTTATGCTCTCCTATATGGTGGGTTCCCTTTCCATTTTGATGTTTGTTTCTTTTGCTGTGCAGAAGCTTTTTAGTTTGTTGTAGTCCCATGTGTTCATTTTCTCCTTTGTTTCTCTTGCCTTAGGCATTGTATCAGTGAAAATTCTGCTGCTGTGTGATGTCTGGAATTTTGTTGCTTACATTTCTTTTAGGATTTTTATGATTCATGAGTCACGTTTAAGTCTTTTCTCTATTTTAAGTTTATTCTTGTGTATGGTGTAAGTTGGTGGTGTAGTTTCATTTTTTTGTATGAGGCTATCCAATTTTCCCAACACCATTTGTTGAAGAGGCTGTCTTTACTCCATGGTATTCTCGTGCCACCTTTGTCAAATATTAATTGAGCATAATGTCTTGGGTCAATTTCTGGATTGTTCCATTTATACCTGTTCTTGTGCCAGTACCAGGTTGTTTTGATTACAGTGGCTTTGTAGTATAATATAATATCTGATATTGTGATCTCTCTTGCTTAGCGCTTATTTTTCAAGATTGCTGTAGCTATTTGGGGTCTTTTTGGGTTTCATATAAACTTTTGGAGTATTCTAGTTTTGTGAAATATGTCATTGGGTATTGCATTGAATCTATAGATTGCTCTCAGTAGTATAGACATTTTAATGATGTTAATTCTTCCAATCCATGAACAAGATATATGCTTCCACTTTTTTATACCTTCTTCTATTTCTTTTTTTAGTGTCCTGTAGTTTTCTGCGAATAGGTCCTTCACTTCTTTGGTATGTTTATTCCTAGGTATCTTAATTTTTTTTGTTGCAATGGTAAATGGGATTTTTTTAGCTTTCTCTTTCTGTGAGTTTATTATTGGTGTATTAAAAATGCCATCAGCCCTGGCCGGTTTGGTTCAGCGGTTGGAGCATCGACCTGCAGACTAGAGAGTCTGGGGTTCGGTTCCCACTAGGGGCATGTACCCCCCCCAAAAAAATGCCGTCAATTTCTTTTTTTTTTAGCTTTTTAAAAAAATTAATTAGTTTATTTATTTTTGTTACAGATGTTTCTCTATTTTTCCCCCCACTGATACCCTCTCCCTCTCCCTCCTCGCCCTGTCCCCAGCTTTGTTGTCTATGTCCATTGTTCATGCATACATGCATGTAAGTTCTGTGGTTTATTGCTCCCCAACCCCTCTTCTGGGGATTGTCAGTCTGTATCCCACTTCCACGTCTCTGGGACTACCCCGTTCCTCAGACTGTTATGTTCATTATATTCCACAAATAAGTGAGATCATGTGATATTTGTCTTTCTTGCTTGGCTTGTTTTCCTTAGGATAATACTCTCCAGGTCCCCCCATGTATTCTCAAAGGATAAGATATCTTTCTTACAGCTGCATAGTACTCCATTGTGTATATGTACCACAGCTTTTTTATTCATTCGTATACTGATGGACATTTGGGCTGTTTCCAGATCTTATCTATTGTAAATAGTGCTGCTGTGAACATGGGGGTACATATATTCTTTCTGATTGGTGTTTCAGGCTTCTTAGGGTATATTCCTAGAAGTGGGATCACTGGATCAAAGGAATGCCATCTATTTCTTTTCTTTTCTTTCTTTTTTTTTTTTTTATCCTCACCCGAGGACATTTTTTTTTTTTTTTTCCATTTTTTGTACAGATAGAGCGGGAGGGAGAGAGAGGAAGGGAAAGAGAGAGAGAAACATCGATGTGAAGGGACACATCGAGTGGCTGCCACCCGCACGACCAACCAGGGCCGGGGACAAACTGCAACCGAAGTACGTGCCCTTAGCGGGAACCGAACCCGGGTCTCTGCGGACCGCAGGCTGACGCTCTAACCGCTGAGCCAAACTGGCCAGGGCTCTTTCTTTTTTTTTTTGTGTGGTATGTGCCCCTAGCGGGAACCGAACCCAGTACTCTCTAGTCCTTATGCCGACGCTCAACCGCTGAGCCAAACTGGCTAGGGCGCCGTCCATTTCTTGATGTTAATTTTGTATCCTGCTACTTTGCCAAATTCATTTATTAGCTCTAGTAGATTTTTGATGGAGTCTTTAGGGTTTTCTGTGTACAATATCATGTCATCTGCAAATAATGACAGTTTCACTTCTTCCTTTCCAATTTGGATGCCTTTTATTTTTTCATCATGTCTAATTGTTGTGGCTAAAACTTCTAGTACTATGTTAAATAAGAGGGGTGAAAGTGGGCAGCCCTGTCTTGTTCCTGTTCTTAAGGGAAATGCTTTTCATTTTTGCCCATTGAGTATGATGTTGGCTATAGATTTTTCATATATGGTCTTTATTATGTTGAGATATGATCCCTCTATTCCCATATTGCTGAGCGTTTTTATCAGAAATGGGTGCTGGATTTTGTCAAATGCTTTTTCAGCGTCTATTGATACGGTCATGTGTTTTTTATCTTTCATTTTGTTTATTTGGTGTATCACATTTATTGATTTGCAAATATTGTACCAGCCTTGCATCCCTGGGATGAATCCCACTTGGTCATGGTGAACAATTTTTTTTAATGTATTACTGGTTCTGATTTGCAAATATTTTATTAAGGATTTTGGCATCTATATTAGGGATATTGGCCTGTAGTTTTCTTTCTTTGTAGTGTCTTTATCTAGTTTTGGAATTAGAATTATGCTGGCCTCATAAAATGAGTTTGGAAGTCTTCCTTCTTCTCCCCCTTCTTCTTTTGCAGTTTATTTATTGAAAGAACTGGGTTGTTTGTCCCGTAAAGTTTCCTGTATCATTGATTTTGCTGATTGCAAAGTTATTTTATTTGTCCCGTATATTTTTGTGTAAGTTGGTACTTAGTTCTAAATGAGACTTTATAATATTTAGATTCAAGTTTTTGGCAGTAGTACATCTCAAGTGGCAGCACTTCTTCAGATTCCTTTATTTTGCTCTTTTTCTTTCTTGGAGGTCATTTCCAAATGTTTTGTGATTCTTGACTGTCCATTCATACTGATTGTCAGCAACTGAGAAATTAGTTGGAAGCTCCCATTGTCTGAGCAGGACATGCAGGTTTGTGAGTTTCTCTCTAGGAGCAAACCTGCCTTTTCATTGATAGAGATGGGGCACAGATGTCAGAATCTGGAGGTCTGTTAATTCTTAGCTTCTGAGGGACTCTTCTAGTCTCCTATTGGGAGGTACCAGTCTAGCTGCCAGAATTCTGGAGTCAGTGTCAGGGTAGGATAGCTACATGAAAAAAAAAAAAAAATACCTGGCGGGGTTGGGGAGAAGACCAGGGGCCCCAAATGCTCACCATATAGACTTTCATTCAGTCCTCTCATTTGTGGCCTGTGGCTTCAGTTCTCTGGGAGCCTTTCCATGTTTCTTCTACTTCTGGGCTCTTCTGAGATTCTTTTGGCCTGCTTCTCTTTGGTATCTCACGCTGTCGGTTTTTACTTAAATCTGTTAGGTTAATTCATTTTTCTCTTTCCTCTTTCTTGTTGCAAAAATTTGTGGAAATCTTTCATTTCCTATGATCTCATCTCCCCTCTCTTTTATACCCCTTTATTCTTTACTGTCATCTTAGGAGGGCAATCTCTATATATTTAACTGAGAGTCCACACCTAATAATCTTTGTTTTTCTTGGGCTCTCTTGTATGCTTATCATTAATGTGTATTCCAACTCAGAGGCAAGTTCATATTCATATCCTTACAGAGATCAAACCGATGTCCTGGTCTTTCCAGTATTTATGTATCTCACCTATCAGGTTCTGGATATTGTTTTAGGTGCTGGAGATTCAGTGGTGAGAAAGTCAGATATGGCTTCTGTTTTCATGGAATTTGTACTCTAGTAGGAGAGGCAGGTATGTACATATAGTTAGAATGTTGGCACAGACTGTATAGCAAAAAGGAGTCTTTGACCACAGATCACATTCCTTAGAATCATTATAACAAGACATAAACTCAAGGAAATGACCCATTTATTATGGCAGTATTTTTTATCAAAAATCCCTATTTGAATCATTCTTCCATTTAATTTATTTACAGAAATAGTCACTAATGGTGACCTTTTTGCGTTGGAGTGTGATACCAGGAAAGACTAGGACAACCCTGGCTGGGTGGCTCAGTTGGTTGGAGTGTCGTCCCATGTACCATGTGGGTTCAATTCCCGGTTGGGGTATGTATGAGAGGCAACAGATAGATGTTTCTCTCTCCCTTCCTCTCTCTGTAAAATCAATAAATATATCCTTGTGCTAGGATAAAAAAAAAGACTAGGACATAGGTTTGATCTCAGTGAGAACTATTAATTTGTATATTTAAACTCTCTTTTCTGGTTAATTCCTTGTCCGGTTATCATTGAAATATGTGATCTTGATTATAAAGGATGATGTTAACCTTTTAGAATGAATGTCTTATTATGAATGCACCACAGTTACACAGTTGCTCAGCATGGGACTTGTCTACCCTGTTAGCTTTCCTTCACTGTGTACTTAAATCTTATTCCTTTGTCTTAGTACTTATGTTAGTTTCCAAAGGCTGCTGTAACAAAATACCACAAACTAAATGGCTTAAAACAACAGAAATTTATGAAGTTCTAGAGGCTAGAAGTCTGAAATCAAGAAGTTGACAGTGCTGTCCTCTTTCTGAAGGTTCTGGTAGAGAATCTTTTCCATGCCTTTCTCTGAACTTCTAGTATTACCAGTAGTCCTTGATGTTCCTTGGCTTGCAGACATACCCCTCCAGTCTTTCTCTTCATCAGCATATGCAGTTCTTCCTCTGTGTCTGTGTCTGTGTCTGTCTGGGTCTTCACCTGACATTCTCCTCTCTGTATCTCTGTCCCTGTGTCTCTTCTCTTTTTGTAAAGATAATAATCATATTGGATTAAGGGCCCACCCTATTCCAGTATGTCCTCAATTTACATCTTAATTACTTCTGCAAAAGACTGTGCTTCCAGCCCTGGCCAGTGTGGCTCAGTGTTTCCAGCGTCTGCCTGCACCCCAAAGGGTCTCAGGCTTGATTCCTGGTACCTGGGTTGCAGATTCTTGTGTAAGAGGCAGCAAATCCATCTGTCTCTCTCACATCTCTCCCTCTCCCTCTCTCTCCCACTCCCTTCCTTTCACTCTAAAAAAAAAAAAAAAAAAATCAATGGAAAAAATATCCTTTGGTGAGGATTAGCAAACAAACAAAAAAGGACTCTGCTTCCAAATAAGATCACATTTATGGGTACTAGGCGTTAAGACTTCCACTTATCTTTTTCAGGGACACAACTCAGCCTACAACATTGCTATTCTTTTCCCTGAGAAATAAAAGCCATGTTATTTATTCAGTTCATAATATTATTGGTAGAAATTATCTCTAAATGAAAGTGAAAACTGTACACAGTACTCTACTACTGATCAGAACTGCCTGAAGCCCTGGCCACTGTGGCCTGGTTGGAATGTGGGTTGTAGGTTTCATTCCCAAATCCCAGTCAGGTCACATACCTGGGTTGTGGGTTCAGTCCCCTCTTGGGGGGTGTACAGAAGGCAGCCAACCAATCGATGTTCTCTGTCATCCATCTATCTCCCTCCTTTCCCTTCTCTCTAAACTAAAAATACTGATCCTTGGGTGAGGATTTAAAAAACAACAACCACCATCTGCCTGAAGATTCTTATAGGTAACATTGACAATCAAGTAATCTTGAGGGAAAAAAAGAAGTTTTGGTCTCTATTGGTGCTCTTATGAAGGGAAGTTGAAGGTCTTGGAGCAATATCTGGACAGGAAGAATGGACCAATCATAACCATTTGAACGTGGTTCACTCTCCTAGTTTCCTTTTTTAGAAAGTAACTTTTAAAAAATGCCCTTAATGCCCTGGCCAGTTTGGCTCAGCGGTTGGAGTGTCGGCCTGTGGACCAGAGAGTCCTGGGTTCAGTTCCCGCTAGGGGCGCATACCAAAAAGAAAAAGAAAAAAAAAAATGCAGCTAAAAATATTTCAAATCAAGACCTTGCATGTTCACTAAATGTTAAGAAGGAGGGGCAGGAGAGTAGGAGCTGGCATGTACCTGTTCAGAAATGTGGCTCCTAAGGGGCTTCAGATAATTTACTTTCTCTTTAATTCCCATTTCTCTTGTAGTTAGAAGAGAAGATAAAACGCTTTGATTTATGAAGAATCTGTTCACTAAGAAGTTCATTATCAAGCCACTGGTTGAATTTCCATCAATAAGAGATTAAGTGGGGAATGGAGAGGAAGGTTGAGTCCAGGTGAGTGATGGGACTTGACAAAAAAGATAACTGAAATTATGGCTCATATAAAATCCTGTAAATATTTTTTGTGTGAAAATAACCAATAATTTTTTTAAAAGTTTTTCCTAAATCATAAGTGGTGAAATAGGAAGTTTGGATAAGGATATTTTGTTATTGATTTTTGGGTTTCTCATCCAAAGTATAAAGTACAATGCACATACCTTACGTTACAGTCAAAAACCATTTTGCGCCCTGGCCGGTTTGCTCAGTGGTTAGAGCGTCGGCCTGCGGTCCTGAGAGACCCGGGTTCGGTTCCCGCTAAGGGCGCGTACCTCGGTTGCAGTTTGTCCCCGGCCCTGGTCGGTCGTGCAGGTGGCAGCCACTCGATGTGTTCCTTTCGCATCGATGTTTCTCTCTCTCCCTCTGTTCCTCTCTCTCCCTCCCACTCTACCTGAACAAAAAATGGAAAAATGTCCTCCGGTGAGGATTAATTAAAAAAAAAACACAAAAAACCATTTTGCATGTGTGGCAATATCTATCATTAAAATTTTTATTTTGATTCAATTATTGAGCCCCAGGCCCTGCACTGGGTTCTGGGGCTACCCCAGTGTGTAAGACAGACTGTACTATATTCTCTTAGAGCCCACAGTGCACAGGGAAACACTACAGTGTGACAGGACTCTGTGCCTGTGGAGAGTCCTGAAGAAACAGCCTAAACTCCCTGACAGCAAGGTGGCTGGGTTGGTAAAAATTACTCTGAATGATTTGTTGCAGGGGATGAATTAAATCAGGCCCAGTGCCATGAGGGAGGTTGCAATTGATGTCCCAACTGAATAGTGATCAGATATGAGAAGACTGGAAAATATGAAACCAAAATTGAAACAGGCTATGGAATGGCCCTTTAAACAGAGTCTAGAGTCTTTCACTTGAATGGGTCTTCAGCCACCTGAAGGAGTTCTCCATGGGCCGCTTGGATGCTCTAAAAACAATGATTGCAAAGGCTTTGGCCAGTGAGAGTGGATAGAATTTTCTAGCCATAAACGGGCCTGAATTGAAGAATGAAGATGTTGGTGAATCTGAAAGAGCAGTTAGAGGGATCTTCTGAAAAGCAAGAGTAAGAGTGGTGGCTCCTTCCCCCATTTTCTTTGATGAACTGGATGCCTTAGTGGTTGAACAGGGCAGTTCTTCAGATGCTAGGAATATAGCTGACCGTGTTTTGGCTTGGCTCCCAACAGAAATGGATGGCATTGAACAGTTAAAGGATGTGATGATTTAGGCAGCTGATAATTGCCCAGATAGGACAAACAAGATCATGATGTGGCCTGGAAGAATCAATAGAATTGTCTATTTACCAGATGCAGCAACAAGGAGGGAAATATATATATATTTTTTTATCACCTGAGGACATTTTTCCATTTTTTATTCACATAGAGGGGGAGGGAGAGAGAGGAAGAGAGAGAGAGAGAGAAACATTGATGTGAAAGGGACACATCGAGTGGCCGCCACCCGCACGACCCAACCAGGGCCGGGGACAAACTGCAGCCAAGGTACGTGCCCTTAGCGGGAACCGAACCTGGGTCTCTGTGGACCACAGGCTGACGCTCTAACCGCTGAGCCAAACCGGCCAGGGCAAGGAGGGAAATATTTAACCTGCAGTTTCACTCTATGCCAATCAGTCTGGATATTGATCTGGATTAATTCATCCTCCAAACAGACGCATTCAGAGCGGAGATCATAGCTGTCTGTAGAGAGGCAGCCCTTGTGGCACCGGAAGAAGACATTCAAGCCAACTGCATTAGGAGAAAACATTTTACTCAAGCCTTGAGCACTGTGACACCGAGAATTCCTGAGTCATTGAGACTTTTCTATAAAGATTATCAAGAGCAGAGGGGACTATAGACACTGAAAAAAAAAAAAAAAACATATTCATTATGCTAAAAATGCTTTCTAGAGAAATCTTTTGTTTTTAAATTTTGTCTTGTGAGTGTTAAAAAAAGAAATCCCTAGCAAACAAAATGTCTAAAGTCCTGTATGTTGACTGGAATAAAGGGGCTTCAGTTCTTGTAGACATTTTAAATCATATGAGTACAATGAAAATAACCATGAAAATCTCTGGATAGGAGTTTTCGTCATTTTTATCTGGAAATGTATACTGAGTGTTAAAATGCAAGCTTCTAGCCTTTTCATTTTGGACCTGGTTCCTTCATCCCATGAAATGCTTTTCTTACTCCAGAATTCATTTCAGTATATTTCTTTTCCTTTTCTTTTTTAAAAAATGTTTTTATTGATTTTTAGAGAGAGAGAGGAAGAGAGGGAGTGAGGGAGGGAGAGAGAGAGAGAGAGAGATAGAGAGAGAGAGAGAGAGAAACAAACTCAACGTGAGAGAGAAACATTTATCAATTACCTCCCATATGCACCCCGACTGGGGATGAGTGGAATGAAAGCCTTATTTATTTTGGAAATTTTTGTTAATCTTTTATTTTGAAATAATTTCAAGTTTAAGAAAAAGTCGCAAGCATAGGACAAAGAACTATATACCTTTCTTCCAGATTCTCCTATTATTAACATTTTACCACATTTGTCTGTCAGTCTCTGTCTCTCTCTTGGCATCTTCATGTCATTTGTGGGCATGAGCAGAGGGGCAAAAAATTTTAGTCATCCAGTGCACATGTTCCCAGTTGAAGTCAAACAAGGCAGTGTTCTGCCTTCTTGTTTCAGCTCTTATACTGTAAACAAGTGTCCTTTTTTTGCAGCCCATGTAGGGCCATGTTTTCACAGTTTTGTGCTTTTCATTGATGATTTTGGTGTTTAAAATGGCCCCAGGCACAGTGCTGAAGTGCTGTCTAGTGTTTCTAAGTGCAAGAACGTCGTGATGTATCTTATGGAGAAAATAAGTATGTTAGGTAAGCTTTGTTCAGGCATGAGTTATAGTGCTGTTGGCCATGAATTTAATGTTAATGAATCACACTATATGTACTAAATAAGGTGTCTTTAAACAGAAGTACACATAAAACAAGGTTATGTGTTGATTGATTGATGAAAATGTTTTTGAGCCCTTGCCGTTATGGCTCAGTTGTTTAGGTGTCGTCCTGTGCACCGGAAGGTTGCTGGTTCAATTCCCAGTCAGGGCACATGTTTAAGTTTCAGGCTTGATTCCCTGTAGGGGGTGTGTAGGAGGCAGCCAATTGATATTTTGCTCTCACATGGATATTTCTCTCTCCCTCACCCTTTCTCTAAAAAATAAAATCAATAAAAAATATATTCATTATAATAACAAACAAAAAAGAAAATGTTTCAAAGACTCACAGGAACATAACCATCCTAACCATGTATTTCCCCTAAGGACAGTGGTTCAATATATACACTAATTCAGTGTTTTTGTTGTTGTTGTTGTTGTTTTACATTTATCTCAGATAGAGTGGGAGAGAGAGAGGAGGGAAGAGAGAGAGAGAAACATCGATGTGAGGGAGACACATCGACTGGTTGCCACTCACATGACCCCAACTGGGGCTGGGGACAAATTGCAACCAAGGTATGTGCCCTTAGTGGGAACCGAAGCTGGGACACTCAAGGTCCGTGGGCCGATGATCTAACCACTGAGCCAAACTGGCCAGGGCGCTAATTCAGTGTTTATTTGACTTTGTAGAACATAATTACTACACCATTTGAGAGTAAGTTGCGGCCAGTTGTCCCCAAAATACTGTTTATAGCAGACAGAAAACAACAAAATATAATAAAATTTTCTTTTTTATTCCTATCCTTTCTGGTCCAGAATCACACATTGTATTTTTCTTTTTTTTCTTTTTAGTCCCCTTTAATTTGGAGCTCTTTTTCAGTCTTATTTTTTATGATCTGAACAATCTTGAAGAATTCAGAACACTTAACCTTTTATATCTATTTTTCAATTTGGGTTTGTTCAATGTCTTCATGATTAAATTCAGCTTATGCATTTTTGGCAGGAATGTTGTGAAAGGGATGCTGTGTTCCTCTTGGGACATCAGTATCAGGAGACATATCATGTTGACTTGGTCCTGTTACTATCAATGTTAACTTTTTTTTTTTGGTTAATCCTCACCCAAGGATGTGTTTTCCATTGAATTTTACAGAGAGTGGAAGGTGGCAAGGGTGGAGTTGGGGGGTGAGAAACATTGATGTGAGAGTGAAGCATTGATTGGTTGCCTGCTGCACACGCCCCAATTGGGGCCAGGGATCAAACCTGCAACCCAGGTATGTGCCTTTGACCAGGAATTGAACCTGAGACCCTTTGGTGCGAGGGTGGATGCTCTAACCTCTGAGCCACACTGGCCAGGGCTCAATGTTAACTTTTTTTTTTTAAGTCCTCACCCTAGGATATTTTCCCATTTATCTTTAGACAGAGCGGGAGAGAGGGAGGAAGAGAGAGAGAGAGAGAGACATCGATGTGAGAGAGACACATTTATTGGTTGCCTCCTGCACGATCCCAACTGGGGCTGGGAATGAACTACAACTGAGGTACGTGCCCTTGACCAGAACCTGGGACTCTTTGGTCTGTGGGCCGACGCTCTAACCACTAAGCAAACCAGCCAGGGCTCGATGTTAACTTTTTTAACACTTGGTTAAGATTTACTTGGTTAACACTTGGTAATCTGCCAGGTTTCTTCACTATAAAGTAATGAATAAGTATTTTGTGGGGAGATACATTAATATCCTGTTTCTCATCAAACTAGCACCTACTTTTTTTTGTATCTATCAATGATTCTTATATGAATCAATTATTACTGTGGTGGTTCTTAAATGATGCTTTTATAATTCCCTTCTAAGTTTATTAGTTGGCATTCTACTGCAAAGTAGAGCTTCCCATTCTCCCACATGTATTTATTTACTCATTTATTTATTTATATCAGTGCAGGTTTACAGATTTCTACTTTATTCAGTGGGTTTTTCACCTATTACTGCTCAAATTGTCCCAGATATGGCTGGTGGGAGCTCTTTCAACCTGGCTCCTGTGTCTTTTTGACATGTCCCCATCATTCTCTGAACACTTCTTTATTTTCTGACCTAAAAAGATATTCCAGGCTCATCTCGTATTTTCCTTTTTTTCAAACCTGAAAATCATATCTCCAAGGAGCCCTGGTTCCTTTTAGTAGGGAATGATACTTTATAAAACAATATTTAAGCTCTAGGTATGCTCATTGCTATTGGAATGTCATTGCTTCTAAGTATTTCCTGCAGGCAGAGCTCTGCCATGCATTTCTTAAAAATCACGAGTTCAGCCCTGGCCGGTTTGGTTCAGTGGTTAGAGTGTTGGCCTGCGGTCCAGAGAGACCCGGGTTCGGTTCCCACTAAGGGTGCATACCTCGGTTGCAGTTTGTCCCCGGCCCTAGTTGGGTCGTGTGGGTGGCAACAACTTGATGTGTCCCTTTCACGTCGATGTTTCTCTCTCTCTCCCCCCCTCCCACTCTATCTGAACAAATATCGAAAAATGTCCTCGGGTAAGGATTAAAAAAAAAAAAATCATGAGTTCATCCCACTAATGTAATCTCTTAATATTTCTACAATGGGATTAAAAGTCTAATTTAGTGTTTAGTAAAAGTGTGTGGTTTCATATTGATATAAAAGTCACATTATCTGAAAATCAATCCTGATTGTTTTCTATATAAAACAATCTTTCTAATTTATAAATGATTATCTTTAAAATGACACATTAAAACGTTAGGACTACTGACTTCAAGATACTCTCTAGCTCTGTAGTTTCTACCTTGAGCCAGCTCAGCAATACCCACCTCCGGTAGCTGGCAGGTATTTCTGTCAGAGATTGGGTTGCTTATTGTCCTTTTTTTTTAAGTCCTCACCCGAGGATGTTTTCCCATTGCTTTTTCAGTTAGAATAGAATGGAGAGAGAGAGAGGGAGAAACATCGATGTGAGAGAGACACATCGGTTGGTTTCCTCCCATATGACCCTTACTGGGGCTGGGGATCACACCTGCAACCCGGGTACATGGTCTTGACTGGGAATCAAACCTGAGACCCTATGGTCCATGGGCCAATGCTCCAACTGCTGAGCTAAACCAGCCAGGGTATTGTCCTTGAAGCATAGTTATTTTCAGTCTATCTCAATGAGTTTATTTAATTTCAGTTGTATGTTAAAAGGTATTTATATCACATGCAGAGAATGTAATTCTATTCCTTACTCCTCAAATTTAAGGTCTTTTAGGGATGGTGCAGTTAAGAAACCTTATTCTCCAAAGATATTGTCCAAGAAGTCTTCTACTTTCTTTGGGATCCGGAGTGAGATACCTCGTTCTAGTCATCTATTGCAGTGTCACGCTCGGACCCAAAGGGGCCGATTAAGAGAATTGCGCATCAGGTGAGCATGTGAGTGGTCATCTGTCTCCAGTGATTTTTTTTTTCCATTGTTCTCCCTTCTTGGTTAAAATGGAGGGATGATTCTTATTCTCCTATCTTAACTAGTTGGACACCTTGATGTCTGCTCTTTATGGCAGAATGTTCAGAAGAAAAGGTAATATGTAGGACTCTGCAGACATAAAATCTGTTATTGAGTGTTTTCATTCATGTTCTCCAGTTGTACCCCATAATGTGTAAACTATAAAGAATCTTCCAGAAAAAGTCTAAACATGATCCAAGAAAAATGATAATTCTTATTATTTACTTTTTTGATAATCCTCAGCGGAGGATCTTTTTTCTGTTGATTTTTTTTTTTTTTTTTTTTTTAAGAGAGAGTGAAAGGGAGGGCGGAGGGTGGAGAGAGAGAGAGAAAAAAAAAAAAATCGATGTGAGAGAGACATATTGATTGGTTGCCTCCAGAGCTCGCCCTGACTGGGGCTGGGGATTGTACCTGCAACCCACGTACGTGTCTTTGATCAGGAATCAAACCTGAGACCTTTTGTGCATGGGCCGACGTTCTAACCATGAGCCACACTGGCCAGGGCAATGATCATTTTTTATATTCTTGATTAGGTCCATCAAAGGTATCATCCATTTATGCATTCAGTAAAATTCATCAGGTGTCAATTTGGCCAGGTATTGTGCCAGATGCTGAGCATACAGGGTGAATAAGACATTCCTGGTCCTTGACCTCATGAAAGCTTAAAATCAGGTATACTTGACAGACTGTTAAACAAGTCACAACAACAAAGTGTGATAAGTGCAATGAAAGGAGAGGATGTGGCTCATAGGCTCATGTGGCAAGGACAGCCATGCTAGTGTAGCCAGCAGTGACTTCCTGCAGGAAGCGAAGTTTAAGCCAAGTCCTGAAGGATAATGTAAGAATACACCAGACAAAGGGTAGGAGGAAGAAGAGCATTCCAAACCAAACCTGGAGATTAACTGGCCAAGACAGACCAACTTTTTGTGTGTGTGCCAGGACTATGCTAGGTACTGGGGATACTGTGAGACACAGTCCCTGCTCTCAGGGGCTCAAAAGGTAGAGGGAACTACAGGAACCCTGAGAGCCAACAACTGTGATTTGGTGTCATAGTGTTACATAATAGAACAGAGTGCTGAGAGTACAAAGCTATTCACTCTGGGTTGGGGAAGGTCCAGGAAGGCTATATATAGGAGCAAGCATTGAAGATGAGCCTTGATGGGTAAGTGGGCATTTGCCAGGCATTTTAGGAAGGAAGAATAATATAAACAAAAGCATTATTATGCACTTCCTTTTCCTCAACTCTGAAGTCTTCTTTGACAAAATACTTTATATTAAAAGTATTTTTTAAAAAAATAATCTCCTTGATTTAACTTTATAAATCTGTCCCATCCTATGCTCTGCTTGATGCACGATTAGCTATGATTCACCTTTTGTTTTGTTTTTTTTATCCTCACCTGAGGACATTTTTCCATTTTTTGTACAGATAGAGTGGGAGGGAGAGAGAGGAAGGGAGAGAGAGAGAGAAACATCAACGTGAAGGGACACATCGAGTGGCTGCCACCCGCACGACCAACCAGGGCCGGGGACAAACTGCAACCGAGGTACGTGCCCTTAGTGGGAACCGAACCCGGGTCTCTCCGGACCGCAGGCCGACGCTCTAACCGCTGAGCCAAACTGGCCAGGGCTGATTCACCTTTTGACTCATGCCAGCATCTCTCTCCCCCTGGGACCTTAAAGTTTCCCTCTCCTTTCCATAAAACTTATGAAATGAGCCAAATGGAGTTTTAAAATGTGTATATCCTTTTTCTTTTAGATGTGTGGCCAGGAAGTTCTTGTATTTGTGGATTCGGAAAACTTTTGGAAGAGTATTTCCTTCTAAAGCCAGGTAGTATTAGCTCAGAACAGCAGGCTTCTGCTGAATTCATTCTGTATTTTTTTTTTTTAAATTAAGCCCATTTATAACCTTATTATGTATAACATTCCTTCCCTGTTCTTCCCCCAGCCTCTGGCAGGCATATAATAAAATGGTAATTTAACACATATTAGTTTGACTGAATGAGTGTATGAAGGAATCATAAAGTAAACCAGGACAGCTAATGGCCTCTAGAAAAAAAGCTCTTTAAGGGCACTGGCAAGACCGATAAATTGACTTGATGTAGGGGAAAAGTTGGCACTGGCAATGGGAATGAAATTTTAGTCAAGACAGTCTGTGCCACAGCTTCACTTTGTATAAGCTACCGCTTACTGCTTTGAAGTTTTTGTTTTTTTTTTATCCTCACCCGAGGATATTTTTCCATTTTTTGTACAGATAGAGTGGGAGGGAGAGAGAGGAAGGGAGAGACAGACAGAAACATCGACGTGAAGGGACACATCGAGTGGCTGCCACCCGCACAACCAACCAGGGCCGGGGACAAACTGCAACCGAAGTACGTGCCCTTAGCGGGAACCGAACCCGGGTCTCTCCAGACCGCAGGCCGACGCTCTAACCGCTGAGCCAAACTGGCCAGGGCCTTGTTTGTTTTTTTAAAAATTTTTTTCTTTTTTTTTTTTTTAATCCTCACTCGAGGACATTTTTCCATTTTTTCCTCAAATAGAGTGGGAGGGAGAGAGAGGGACAGAGAGAGAGAGAAACATCGATGTGAAAGAGGCACATCAAGTGGCTGCCACCCGCACGACCCCAACCGGGGCCGGGGACAAACTGCAACCGAGGTACACGCCCTTAGCGAGAACTGAACCTGGGTCTCTCGAGACTGCAGGCCAACGCTCTAACTGCGGAGCCAAACCGGCCAGGGCGCTAAAACTGTCTTAATTAAAACTCAGCCCTGGCCGGTTTGGCTCCGCGGTTAGAGCCCACTCTATCTGAGCAAAAAAATGGAAAAATGTCCTCGAGTGAGGATAAAAAAAAAAGAAAGACAGTTTTAGCTGTAGTGCCCAAAATGGTTGGCAAGGGGAGCCACTGGGGTCAGGGACATTGTGTAGCAAGTAGTGAGGATGTAGAGAGGGGGCCATGTAGGGTATGTTTTAGAGGTAGAATTGGCAACCACTGAGAATGTAAGCTTTTTTTAGTTCATTTTATTTATTTTTTTAATCCTCACACGAGGACTTTTTTCCATCTTTGTTCAGATTGGGGTGGGGGAGAGAGAGAGAACTGTTGATGTGAGAGGGACACATCAACTGGTTGCCTCCTGCATGACCCCGACCAGGGCCAGGGATGAACTGCAAAGGAGGTATGTGCCCTTGACCGGAATCGAACCCTCAACTCATTAGTCTGCGGGCTGATGCTCTTACCGCTGAGCCATACCGGCCAGGGCCAATTTATGTTTTAAATTGCATACCATTTGGAGTAGTGTGATGAAACCTTGCACTGTCCCCCCTCTATCCTACCCAGAATGTGAATCATTTCCTTGCCCAGAGTGTCCATGTGATATATGTTGCCCATCCTGTTAGTCGCTTGGTGGCTGTCTGTTATTGGATCAACAACCGTTGTGGTATTAGAGTGTTTGTGTTCAAGTCACCCTTATTTTACTTAATACTGGCCCCAAAGTACAAGAGTAGTGATGCTGGCTGATTGGATATACCAAAGAGAAGCCATTAAGTGCTTTCTTTAAATGAAAAGGTGAAAGTTAGCAACTTAATAAGGAAAAAAAGAAATACGCTGAGGTTGCTAGGATATACCATAAGAATGGATCTTCTATCCATGAACTTGTGAAGAAGGAAGAAGAAATTTGCACTAGTTTGTTGAGAGAGAGGGAGAAACCACATTCATATAACTTTTATTTATTTATTTTCTTTATTGATTTTAGAGAGAGAGAAATGGAGAGGGAGAGGAAGATAGAAACATTGATGAGAGAGAACATTGATTGACCACCTCCTGCATGCCCCCCACTGGGGATTTGGCCCACAACTTGGGCATGTGCCCTGACCGGGAATTGAACTGTGACCTCTTGGTGCATCGGTTCAACCACTGAGCCACACCAGCAGGGCTTATGTAACTTTTATTACATTCTTTACATGCCATCTCATTGCTTCTTTTTTTTTTTTTCTGTACAAATGTTAATACCTTGCAGGTGTTTTGACTGTGAGTGGTTTGTCCTCATCTGCGTGTATTTTGGATTCATGAGGTATCTCATCACCTAGTTTTGTTGTAATTGACACGAGTTTTTGGTTTTGCTACATGGCAGTTCTGTGTGTTTTATGGGATTCAGAGATCAAAAAACATTGCCACCTCCACCATCTTCCCTAAATCTTTTTAAATTTTTTTTTTTATCCTCACTCGAGGACATCCTTCCATTTTTTATTCAGATAGATCTGGAGGGAGAGAAAGGAAGAGAGAGAGAGAGAAACATCGATGTGAAAGGGATACGTCGAGCGGCCGCCACCCACACCACCCAACCAGGGCCAGGGACTAACTGCAACCGAGGTACATGCCCTCAGCGGAAACCGAACCTGGGCCTCTTCAGACCACAGGCCAACACTCTAACCGCTGAGCCAGGGCCCTAAATCTTTTTTCTATTTAATTTTATTTAACTTATATTTGACCCATATTTAACTGGAAATCTCTTTTCAAATAATACAGATTTATATTCCAAGTAGTTAGGAATGCATTTGACTCAAGAAAGTTTGGCAGTGGCTTAAACAAATTGTCATATACTTTTTTCTCAGAAGCATTCTGGAAGTTGGTATTGGTTCAGCTATTCAGTGATGCCATCAAAGACTCAGCCTTCTAATACCTTTCTGGTTCACCATCCTTAGCATGTTGGTTCTCTGCTCTCAGAGGTGACACTGCATAATTGCAAGATGACTGTTCTAGCTTTACACAGGAAGGAGGGGGAAGGGTGGTTTCAGCTCCCTGTGTCTTTATCAGGAAAGCAGAATGTTCCTGGAAACCCCCAGCTTCGTTCTGCTTCTGCATCCTTGGCCAGAGCTATGTCACTGGCCATTTTTCTTTCCCAGCTTCTGTAATGGATGCCCATGAAGAAGCAGTCTTGGCAGTGAGTGTTGGGTTAATCATTGACTGATATTTGCTTTACTTTATTTTTTTCCTTTTTTTGCTCTTTAGTGGTGGCTGGGTATAGGGGAAAGAATATTGGACTGGAATTTAGGAGACCTGAATTTTGGTTCTAACCCAAGCTAATTGTTTGATCTGGGGATAAGTTATGGCGCTGGGCCTCCGTTTCTCAAATTATAAAATGAGAGAGTGAGAATATTTGTTTTTTTAAATCTTTATTGTTGAATGTAAAATATATTACAGCCCTGGCCGGTTTGGCTCAGCGGTTAGAGCGTCCGCCTGCGGTCCGGAGAGACCCGGGTTTGGTTCCCGCTAAGGGCATGTACCTCGGTTGCAGTTTGTCCCCGGCCCTAGTTGGTCGTGCGGGTGGCAGCCACTCGATGTGTCCCTTTCACATCGATGTTTCTCTCTTTCTCTCTTCCTCTCTCTCCCTCCCACTCTGTCTGTGCAAAAAATGGAAAAATGTCCTCGGGTGAGGATAAAAAATAAATAAATAAATAAAATAAAATATATTACAGATGTTCTACATTTTTCCCCCATTGACCCCCTCCTCCCCACTCCCGCCCCCCTCCCACCTTTTCCCACACTATTGTCTGTGTCCATTGGTTATGCATATAAGTTCTTTGGTTTATTTCTTCCCACCCCCCCAACCCCTTTCCCTTTGAGGTTTGTCAGTCTAGCAATGAATTTGTACTTCTTCTTTTTTTTTTTTTTTTTAAATCCTCACCCGAGGATATTTTTCCATTTTTTGTACAGATAGAGTGGGAGGGAGAGAGAGGAAGGGAGAGAGAGTGAGAAACATCAACGTGAAGGGACACATCGAATGGTTGCCACCCGCACGACCAACCAGGGCCGGGGACAAACTGCAACCGAAGTACGTGCCCTTAGCGGAAACCGAACCCGGGTCTCTCCGGACCGCAGGCCGACGCTCTAACCGCTGAGCCAAACTGGCCAGGGCGAATTTGTACTTCTTAATCCCTTCACCTTTTTCACCCATTCCCCCAACCCCCCTCCCATCTGACAACCAACAAAATGTTCTCTGTATCTATGAGAATGTTTCTGTTCTGTCTGTTCATTTTGTTTGTAGATTCCATTGTCAATAGATACGTATTCATTGCCATTTTGTTTGTTCATATATTTTATCTTTTCAAAAAGACCCTTCATCATTTCATATAATAACGGTTTGGTGGTGATGAACTCCTGTAGCTTTTTCTTGTCTGGAAAAGTCTTTATATGGCCATTGATTCTAAATGACAGCTTTGCAGGATAGAGTAATCTTGGTTGTAGGTTCTTGCTTTTCATCATTCTGAATATTTCTTGCCACTCCCTTCTGGCCTGCAAAAGTTTCTTTTGAGAAATCAGCTGAACTCCCTTGTAGGTAACTAGCAGCCTTTCTCTTGCTGCTTTTAAGATTCTCTCTTTGTCTTGAACCTTTTGCATTTTGATGATAATGTGTCTTGGTGTGGGCCTCTTGGGGTTCATCTTGTTTGGGACTCTGTGCTTCCTGGACTTGTATGTCTGTTTCCTTCACCAAGTTAGGAAAGTTTTCTGCCATTATTGTTTCAAACAGGTTTTCTATTTCTTGTTCTCGCTCTTCTCCTTCTGGCACCCCCAAGATGTGAATGTTGGCACGCTTGAAGTTGTCCCAGAGGCTCCTTATACTATCCTCATTTTTTTGGATTCTTTTTCTTTTTGCTGTACTGGTTGGGCATTTTTTGCTTCCTTATATTCCAAATTGATGGTTTGCTCCTTGGATTTACGTACTCTATTATTGAAGCTGTGTAAATTATTCTTTATTTCAGTTAATGCCTCCCTCAATTCTAACTGTGCATCCATGATTTCTGACTGGTCCTTTTTCATGCTCTTGAGGCCCTCACTAAGTTCACTGAGGTTCTCACTAAGTTCATTGAGCATCCTTATAAGCAGTATTTTGAACTCAGCATCTGTTAGGTTGCTTATCTCCATTTCGCTTAGTCCTTTTCTTGGGGTTTTGTTCTGTTCTTTCATTTGGAACCTGTTTCTTTGTCTCCTCATTTTGGCTGCCTCCCTGGGTTTGTTTCAGTGTATTACTTAATGAGAGGTATGGGGCTAGCTGAGACCAGATGCTGCTTGTTTGAAAGAATTTAGGAAAAACCTGAAGCAGGATTTAAGACAGGCCAATCCTATGGTTAAACAAGTGGCAACAGCTTGGGTGGGCCTGAAAGTTGGGTGGGGCGGGGTGGGGCCTCAGGGAGTCACCAGGGCGGGGCTACCAGTGTGAGCCACGTTGCTGGAGTCCCAGATATGGCCTCTGTCTGCCGCCCCAGGGAAGGGCTCACCAAAGGAACAAAAGTCCTCTGACAGCATGTTTGTCCTGGAGAAAGCCCCCTCTCCAGCCCTCGCTCCAGTGCCAAACAGCTCAGTTCTTCCCTGTATGTCTCTGGTGCCCCTTGAGCTGCCTCCCCTCCGAGCTTAGAGGGAGAGAGTCCGATAAGTTCGCGCGCAGGCCCTTTAAGGAGCTGCCTGGGGCTCCAGCCGCTTCAGCTTCCCTGAGCCTCAGTTCCCGCTGGTTTTTCCAGCCAGAAGTTATGGGGATTCTCTTCCTGGCACTGGAACACTGAGCGGGGCACCTGGTGTGGGACGGGGACCCCTCATTCCTCAGGAAGGACCTTCCCAGCCGAGGTAGCCTCCTGATTTTCATCCTCCACACTTGGGTGTGGAACCAGCCCGTCGCGCCTCCGCCCCTCCTACCAGTCTGGTTGTAGCTGTTGCTTTAATTCTGTAGTTGTAGGACTTCCATTCAGCTCGATTTCAGGCGGTTTTGAATGATGGTTGTTCTGTAGTTTAGTTGTAACTTTGATGTGGTTGTGGGAGGACGCGATACCGCGTTTACCTACGCCGCCATCTTGACCAGAAGTCCTAAATATGTCTATTTTTAATCTACTTTGGTGTTATGACATAATGAGCCATATTCTGAGAAAACAATGGTAATATGAAATTGTAATTTGGGAATAGGTATCAACTCCAATATTATCATGTATCCCTGATGTTTTCCCTTGCCCTAGGTTTTACTATAAGCAAAGAATACTACGGAAGGTCTTTGAAGAATGGAAAGAAGAGTGGTGGGTTTTCCATCGAGAGTGGAAACTCTGTGTTCGAGCTGACTGTCACTACAGGTCAGATTTCATTTATGTTACTTCAGGTTTACTGATACACATTATCAAATAATTACTTGGCATGTTCATGGTCAAGTAGAGAAAAGTTCTGAATCGTTTTCTATTTTTCTTTTTTTATTATTTTTTATTTTTTTGTTGATGTTAGAGAGAGAGAGGAAGGGAGTGGAGGAGAGAGCGAGAGAAACATCTATGAGAGAGAACATTGATTGGCAGCCTCCTGCAGGCCCTCCACTGGGAATCAGGCCCAGAACCTGGGCATGTGCCCTGACTGGGAATCAAACCGACAACCTCTAGGTGCATGGTTCAATGCTCAACCACTGAGCCACATCAGCCGGGCTCATTTTCTATTTTTCTTCAAATTATTTTAGGGTAAGCAGTATTAACCCCAAAGACATGTGCACATGAGCACGCACACATAGAGACACTCCTCTAATTCAAGTAACCATATGTGTTGGTCATGCTAATGATTCGAATAGGGTTTTCTCCTTGACTTTCATTTATATATAATTTCTAATTCTGAGAAGAATATTCTCTTCTTTAATATAAGTTGTTTTTAGTTTATACTGATTATAGGAGAAAAATAAATGCCCCATAAATCTTACACATTGTTTAAAATTGTGTTCACTTTCATTTTAATCACTTCTTTATTTAGATAGATATATTGAATAATTCTAGTAAGCTGGTAGAGTATGAAATCAAGTCTAAGGAAAGGGGGTAGTGAAAATATGGAGGGACTGACAACCTAAATGTGTCTAGAGTATGTATTGAGAAGGAAAATAAAAATAAAAATGTGTCATTGACCATGTTTTAGTGCAGAGGAGAAGTAATGTTTTGCATACTGTAGATATTAAGGTGATTAATATATGACTATCATTCCAAACTTCATGGCTTTGTGGATGCTGAAGGTGAAGTTATTCTTAGAAAAGTCAAGCCTTTTTTCCTTGAGTGACACTATAAGGTGTGGAAAACAACACTCCATCAAGGACAATAGGTTTCACTGTGATTGTAGGGAATAAAATTTTAGTTTACGATGTAGATATGGCTTTTTTTGTATTGGAAATGTTCATAGTTATTTCCCTTGAGTACAGACCAGGTATATCGGATTAGGAATTGTTTGTTTTAAAGAAATGCCTGCGGTCCACAGAGACCCGGGTTCGGTTCCCGCTAAGGGCATGTACCTTGGCTGCAGTTTGTCCCCGGCCCTGGTTGGGTCGTGTGGGTGGTGGCCACTCGATGTGTCCCTTTCACATCGATGTTTCTCTCTCTTCCTCTCTCCTTCCCGCTCTACCTGAGTAAAGAATGGAAAAGTGTCCTCGGGTGAGGATAAAAAAAGAAATGCCATTTGCTTTTTTGGCTCCTCAGATATTACTTGTACAACCTGATGTTCCAGACCTGGAAGACCTATGTGCATCAGCAGCAGGACATGAGGAACAAGTACATCAGAGCCCAGGATCATGGTGAGAAACAGAAGTGCATGTGTAAAGAAAATGCCCAGATTGACTTTTATTCTTTATTAAGACTATTTTTTAGGAGCAGTTTTAGATTCACAGCAAAATTGAGGATACGGTATAGCGATTACCCATATACCTTCTGCCTATACCCATGCATGGCTTTCCCCATTTGCAAATATTTTCTCCCAGTTGGGGCTTGTCTTTTCATTCTCTTAACTGTATTTTGCAAAGCAAAAGTTTTTAATTATGACGAAGTGCAATTTATCAATTTTTGTTTTATGGATTGTGTTTCTGATAGCTTATGTAAGAACCCTAACCCAAAGTCACAAAGATTTTCTCCTAAAAGTTCTGTGGTTTTACATATGGATCTCGTATAGACTGCAACCTTGCTAAACTAATTTTTTAGTTCTAGGAGCTTTTATATAGATTCCATAGGATTTTCTCTACAGACAGTCATCTTTGAACAGAGACAGCTTTATTCCTTTCCAAAAATGTTTTTATTGCATAGGCTAGGGCTTCTAGTATGACACTGAATAGGAGTTGTGGGAGTGGACATCCTTGCCTTATTCCTGATCTTAAGGGAAAGGCATTTGGTCTTGAACCATTAAGTATGGTGTTAGCTATAGGTTATTTGTAGTTGTCTTTTATCAGGTTAAGGAAGTTCTCTTCTGTTCCTAGTTTTCTGAGCATTTTTATCATTAATAGATATTCAATTTTTTCATATCATTTTTCTGTATTTTTGAGATGATTATGTGACTTTCTTTTTCAGTTCATTAATATGTTGAATTATATAGAGTGATTTTTGAATTTTGAACCAGCCATACATTCCTTAGATTAGCACCACTATATTGCTGGGTTAAATTTGTTAATATTTTGTTGGGGATTTTTGCATCTATGTTTATGGGGAATATTGGTCTATAGTTTTTTTTTGTTTAATGTCTTTGTCTGTTTCTGTTTCAAGGTAAGACCCTCACAGAAAGAGTTGGGAAATATTTTATCCTCTTATATTTTCTGAAGAGATTTGTAGAATTAGTATTATTTCTTCCTTAAATGTTTGGTAATACTCTCCAGTGAAATCAACAGGGACTGGAGTTTTTTTTGTTGGAGAGTTTTAAACTTTGAATTCAAGTTTTTAAATAGATATAAGACTACTTAGGTTATCGATTTCAGCTTGTTGAATGAGTTTTGGTAGTTTGTGTCTTACAAGGAATTGATCCATTTTAAATATATGTTGTCAAATTTATGAGCATAGAGTCATTTGAAGTATTTCATTATTATAATTTTAATGTTGCAGGGTCTGTAACAATAGCACCTCTTTCATTCCTGATATTGGTAATATGTGTTTTTAGCTTTTTAGTTTTGGTCAGTCTGGTGAGAACTTTATCAATTTTATCAGTCTTTAAAATAATCTAATTTCTATTTATTGGTATTTTTAAAAATTGTTTTTCCATTTCCAAGTTTCTTTATTCCTGCGTCTACCTTTATTATCTCACTTCTACAAAGTTTGGTTTTAATTTGCTGTTCTTTTTCTAGAGTCTTAAGGTACAAGCTGAGATTATTGATTTGAGACCGCCCCTTTTTTCTAAGACAAGCCTTTACTGCTATAAAGTTTTCTTTAAGCACTGCTTTAACTGCATTCGACAAATTTTAATATTTTTCAATTCTGTTTTTTTTTCATTCATTAAAAAAATATTTTCTAATTTCCCTTAAGACTTTCTTTTTGACCTAAAGATTTTTTGGAAGTGTGTTTAGTCCTAATATTTGGAATTTTCTAATATCTTTCTAGTATTGATTTTCTAGTTTATTCCATTCTAATCAGAGAATAATACTTAGTATGATTTTATTTCTTTAAGTTTGTTGACGTTTGTTTTGTGGGCCAGATAATACTATATTTTGTGAATGCTTCATGTTTACCTGAGGAATGTGCATTCTGCTGTCTTCCATTGTTATAATAAATACAGCCATATTACAGAGTATAAGGAAAAGTCACTTGGATTTTTTTAAGATCAAAAGAGTTATTTCTGATATATGACATTGTTTCAGGCCATGTCCACAGACCCAAGGGAGTGCCCATTTACTCTTGTACTGTTAAATAAGTCTGCAAGTACTTTCAGGCCTCAGGGAGAATGGTTTTCATATTGTCATCAGAATCTTGGTAGAGACAATTAATGTAGATTCCTGGTTCCATGCTGGGAAAATAACAGCTTGCATTTATTGGAGACACTTTTCATAGAAAATCTCATTTACTCTTTGCAAGCATACGTCTAAGGGAGGCACCATTTTATAGATAAGGAACTTGTACAAGGTTACTTAGTTAATAAATGACAAGGACTTTTTTTTTCTTTTTCTTTTTTTGTTAATCCTCACTTGAGGATATTTTTTCCATTCATTTTTTCTAAGAAAGCAGAAGGAAGGGAGGGAGGGGAAGAGAGAGAGAGAGAAAAATATCAATCTCAGAGAGACACATCGATTGGTTGCCTACCATATGTGCCTCGACCGGGGCTGGGGATGGTACGTGTCCTTGACTGGGAATCAAACCTGTGACCCTTTGGTCCGAGGGCTGATGCTCTAACCATGGAGCCACACCAGCCAAGGCAAACCTGGCTCATCTTACTCAGATACCAAACTCTAAACCACTGCACCACGCTAGTCTATGTCACCTGAGGTGTGTGGATTCCTGAGGTCTGGAGTGGGCTTGAGGAAGCTACATGTTAAATTTTTTTTCATATTTTGAGTCAACTTGTCAACAACTATGAAATATATAGTTCCAGTCCTACTGACCACATGTTGGAGAATGTTCTGAAAATGGTTTATATAATTTTATTTTCTCCTTTGTATGCTAAAAAGAAAAGAAATTTACTTTGTTAGTGATGACTTTCATAATGAAAATGGAATTTACCACAAAGTGAAACCTTTACACTTCCATATCTAGTCAATTCTCTTTCCTTCAGGATCATTACTGGTCTTTGTTATTCTGTTTCCCAAATAGATACGGATAGTATCCTTTTCTTCTGTCTTGCTTATGCTACTTTACAATTATTATTTCAAACAGCAAGTTTTATAACATGATTTCTTATTCTTTAATCTTCATATTATAGAAAATTTTAACTCTCTACAAAATTGAAAGATGGAATAATGAACTTCCATGTACACACACCCTCCCAGCTTCAACAATTATCAACTCACACCAGTCTCACTTCCCCACTTCTTCACAATATCATTTCATTTGTAAATATTGTATTATATATCTCTAAAAAATAAAGGGTGTTTACAATACAGGATTTCTAAACAGTGCAGTGTATTGATTTTCGTTTAAATGTTTTGTAAATATGGTCACTTCTATAACCATTCTTCACATGCACTTGCATCTATTAATTTTGTAGAGCTTCACAACTTTTCCAGCAGGGGGCACTTGAAAGCTGGAGGAATTTAGGTATTCAAAGGAGAGATAAGTACAGAAAGCCCCATGAGTTTTTACCGCAATCCAGAGTAATCCATCTCCCCCTACCCCTTTTTGAAACTCTCTTTCGTGCATCTAGATGCAAAACAAAAGATGCGACAGGCCTGGAAGTCCTGGTTGATCTACGTGGTTTTTCGAAGGACCAAACTTCAGATGCAGACCACTGCCTTGGAGTTTAGGCAGCGGAGTATTTTGTGGTGAGTGTGCTCAGATGCCCTGTAGTTCAGCAACTATCATTTTATCTCAGCCTTGCTTTATGTTGCTGAAAAGCCGCCTAAAAATCTACCTTAAAACAGTTTAAAACATAATTTTTACCTAATAAATATATATTTATTATTATTATTTAAAAAGTTTTTTATTGATTGATTGATTTTAGAGAGAGAGGAAGGGAGAAGGAGAGAGAGAAACATCAATAAGAGAGACCATCAATTAGCCGCCTCCTGCATGCCCCCACTGGGGATTTGGCCCACAATCCGGGCATGTGCCCTGACTGGGAATTGAGCTGGCGACCTCCTGGTGCATGGGTTGATACTCAACCACTGATCCACACCAGCCGGGCCCTAATAAATATTTATTGACAACTTGTTAAACTATAAGATAACTGATTTTCACATAATCACAAGTAACACTAACAGAGTACTCACTATGTTCTAAACCCTGTGTTAAGTATGTGTATGTATTAATTTTTTAATGTAAAGTGTCTCATTTAATCCTCACTATGAACTGTAAAATAAGTATTCTTATTGTGCAGATTAAGATACATAGTAATGCCCTGGCCAGTTTGGCTCAGCGGTTAGAGCGTCGGCCTGCGGTTTGGAGAGACCCGGGTTCGGTTCCCGCTAAGGGCACGTACTTCGGTTGCAGTTTGTCCCCGGCCCTGGTTGGTCGTGCGGGTGGCAGCCACTCGATGTGTCCCTTCACGTCGATGTTTCTCTCTCTCTCTCCCTTCCTCTCTCTCCCGCCCACTCTATCTGTACAAAAAATGGAAAAATATCCTCGGGTGAGGATAAAAAAAAAAAAAAAAAAAAGATACATAGTAATGCCCTGGCTGATTGGGCCCATTGGTGGAAGCATTGACTTGTGGGCTGAAGGGTTGATTCCTGGTCAGGAGCACGTACCTGGGTTGCAGGTTTGATCCCCAGCCTTGGTCGGGGTTGTATGGGAGACAACCATTAGATGTGTCTCTCTTTCATTGATCTTTCTCTCTCTCCCCCCCTCCCTCCCTTCCTCTCTCCCTCCCTCTCTCCCTCCCTCTCCCTCTCTCTCCCCCCTTTCTTCCTCCCTTCCTTCCACTCTATGTAGAGGGTTAATGGAAAAATATCCTTGGGTGAGGATTAAAAAATATATAGTAAGTCTCAGAAAGGTTGAGTAACTTCCTCGAGCTCATATAAGTTGTAAATGCATTTTTCTGATGCCAAACCCATGTTCTTAACTGCTGCCTCACACTGCATCTCGTCAGCATTGTCCAGTAAATTAGGCCTCTTAGGAAGCCAGATGTGTGTAACAATGAGGTACTTTATAATGGGACTGATTTCACTGTATGTTGTTTCTGGTGGTCCTCTGGTGTCCCGAATGACAGCATATTAAAAGCTTAGTTCCTGTCTGGCTGGTGTGGCTCAGTGATCGAGCGTCGACCCATGCACCAAAAGGTTGCAGGTTCGATTCCTGGTCAGGACACATGCTCAGGTTGCGGGCCTGATCCCCATTGGGGGGTATGCAGGAGGCGGCCAATCGAAGTTCTCTCTCAACTATGTTTCTATCTCTCTCGCCCTCTCCTGTCTTCTTTCTCTAAACTCCATAAAGGAAAAAATAAAAATAAATACAAATTTAGTTCCTGCCTGAAAAAGCTGGGCCCTGTATATACAATGGAGAAAAACATAGGCTTTGCAGGCAGACTGAGTTGGGTTCAAATCCCTGTTCCAACATGTATTTTTGGGTCATTTCACCTATTCAAGTCTCACTTTTTCCATCTGTGAAATAGGCACACTATTAAGTTTCTTTCAAGGTTGTTATGGGAAATAAGATAATATTTGTAAAATATTTAGTATAGTATTTAGAACATCAGTGGACATATAGAAGTTACTTAAAATTTTTGAAGTGATTTAAAATTTATTCAACAAATATTTTAAAATTCTAAATAAGTATGCACTTCTATTATAGTCTATAGGGGATATTTTTACACAATTTTATTTATTCATTGTGTAATTATTGAGGGCTTAAAATGTTTCTGGTACAATGTTGGGTGCTAGGGCTGCATTCAGGGACCTTATAATTCCCTGAGTACTTAAAAAGATAGCATAACCTAGGTTAGGAAGAAGGAGATTTTGGTGGGTTAGAATGATCAGGCAAATTGAGTGTTTCTATAAAGTAGAGGTTGTCAACTTTTGTGTCTTCATTACTGTTTTTGGAAAATAAGCAGAAAAGGATACATCAAGACTAGAAATCTAAAAGGTACTTTTTTTTTTTTTTGCAGGTTATTCTGTGAACTCTCCTGATTTTTTAAATGTTGGCAGTTACTTATTATATATCTTTAAAAATCTGTGTAGGCCATCCAGAGCATGCCCGTAGTGTCTGAGGCTGAATCTGACTTCAGGAACCATCAGTTTCCAACCTTTAATTGGCAGCTTTAGGACTGTTTCCCGGTTGACATTTTTAGCAGTGGCTTTAACAGATATCATTCTAGACATGGTACCATGAGAGTGAGGGACTTGAGCTGAGTCTGAAGCCTAGCCCTTACTACCCTTCTTTTATCTGCGTGGCTTTTTGCTGACTGGTTCCATCTTCAATTTGCTCTTTGACAGGGTGTGGTGGAGCGAATGGAGGCGGCAACTGGGACAGATCCGTGTGGGACACATTCTCTTTGCCTCAGCTGTGAAGCACAGGGCCCTTAGCCTCCAGCTGCAGGTGAGTCCAGCAGACTCGAGTTTTGTGTCCTCTGTCCATGTTGTCAAGCCCCTCACCCCCAAAGGGTGGGGTTGGACTTCAAGCAGAAGGCCAGTCATCATGCTGCTGCCTCTCTCCTGGGCCCTTCCTACAGCTGAAGGGACTTAGGAGGTGGTGGGGGCAGAAGCAACATTGGGGGTTGAGCTCTTCAACAGCAGAGGTTGCTGTTAGGAATATGCTAGATATGATTACCAGTGGTTTGTAGAGCATGGCTGCTAATTGTGGAACTGGGAAGGGATTTGTGAATTAGTTATAAACATGTTAAGGATACAGCAGTATACATTTTTATTTCCTCATTACTGCCTTTTTACAGCAAATTAGAAAATAATGAGGGCAGAAAAGAAACTAAGACTGAAAAGAAACCTGGCCCCCCTGCCACCTTCCCACCCCTATATAATCTTGCTTATCTTAGAGGTTTCTTTTGGGAAAGCCACTAGCTTTTTGTCAGTATAAAGGCCTAATATCTGTATCAAATCTGTGCTGTGGTGAAGCTTTCTTATGACTTTTGATTGAGTCTCTGAATTTGTCATTTTTGTGTCTGAGGACCACCAAGTCAGTTATAGAGAATAGAACAGAGAAGAGGAGAAAAAGAAGTGCCTGTTATTACTTGTAGGAATAATATCTTTATAATCTAACAAAATTTTACATCGTCCATGTAAGTGTATGCAGTATATGGAGATCACATGCAAATAGCATATAAAATTATATAGATCAGGGGTCAGCAAACTGGCTCACAGATCATATTTGGCCTGCTGCCTGTTGTTGTAAATGAAGTTTTATTAGGACACAGTTACACCTATTCATTCATGTATTGTCTAAGGCTGCTTTCAGGGTACAAAAGCAGAGTTGAGTAGTTGCAACAGAGACAGCATGGCCTGCAAAGCCTAAAATATTATCTGACCCTTTAAGAAAAAGTTTGCTGATTTCTGAACTCACAAGGTCTTCTGAGGCAATAGCAAGGAATCAGAGGTCTTGCCAGTAATAACAGTAATAACCGTTGCAGCAGTAGCAGCAACAGCATTCTTTGAGGTCTTACTTGTGCTAGATGCTAAGTGCTTTAGAAAGGTTATCTCATTTAATTTTCATAATTCTTTAATTTTTAATTTTTTAAATTTCTTTATTGGTTTAAAATTATTTTAATTGATTTTTAGAGAGAGAGAGAAATATTGATGAGAGAGAATCATCGATTGTCTGCCTCCCACATGCCCCCCCACCATTGGGGATTCAGCCTACAATCTGGGCATGTGCCCTGACCAGGAATTGAACCAATGACCTCTTGGTGCATGGGACAACTCAACCAACTGAGCCATACTGGCAAGGGCTAAATTTCTTTATTGGTTTTAGAGAGAGAGGAGAGGAGGGAGAGGGAGACAGGCAAAGACTTCGATTTGTTGTTCATTTTCTGGTTGCTTCTTGTATGTGCCCTGACCGGATCAAACCCACAACCTTGGCATATTGGGATGATGTTCCAACCAAGCAAGCCACCTGGCCAGGGCTAATTCTTTTCTTTCTTTCTTTCTTTCTTTTTTAAAGAAATCATTATTTATTATTGAGGAAACTAGAAAGTTTAAATAACTTGAATAAGGGTCATTCACCTAGCAAAGATTTCAGAGCCAGGATTTAAACCCAAGCAATCTGAAAACTGCAGAGCTGTTCTTCTGATCATCATGCTGCATTGTCCTTTATAGATTTGTAATCTCAGGAGGGAGGTGGGACTGACAAATGTGAAAATGCTATAAACACAGGAACATCATGAGACTGATTTTCTGTCACTGATGGACTGCAGCTATGTGAATGTCCTTCCCTTTCAAATAGCCACTGTGAGAGCCTATAAACTCATTCTACTGATGGCTGCTATTGCTCAGAACTCTTTTAGAAATCCCTTTTACAGTTGTGTTCAAAGCTTGCAACAACAGTTTTGATTGACTATTTTTAGTGATAGTGGGTTTTTATAGTTTGAAGTTGGGTTTAACTTATAAAACAGCCCAAAGTGATTTAGAATCAAGTCAATGAAAAATGTGAGTAGTCAGATAATATTGATATGGACTAAAAGTGATATGAGACTCTTAAGACCAGATTTTAATATGTAAATTATAAGAAATAATGCTTTGTATCTGATAAGTACTGTGGTTTTTTTTTTTTTTTTTTATCCTCACCCGAGGACATTTTTCCATTTTTTGTTCAGATAGAGCAGGAGGGAGAGAGAGGAAGAGAGAGAGAGAGAAACATCGATGTGAAGGGACCCTCACGACCAACCAGGGCCGGGGACAATCTGCAACCAAGGTACGTGCCCTTAGCGGGAACCGAACCCGGATCTCTCTGGACCGCAGGCCGACGCTCCAACCGCTGAGCCAAACCGGCCAGGGCAGTACCGTGTGTTTTACTAAGGACTTACACTGAAGTCATTTCTCTTATTCCTCACAATATATCTGAATTAGGTGGGGCAGATATCATGAGATAGGTGAAATTTAAAAAAACTAAATGTACGTACTTCAAACACAGAAACATTAAATATAAAACATTGGTAAAAATCTTTTACTAACAAATATCCAAGTACCCATTACCCAGATTTAAAAGGTGTTAGCATTTTCCATACTTGCTCCAGAATTAACTGTGATGGACATAGCTCAGACCCACTCTTCCTCCCTTCTGCCACCTCAAAGATAGCCACTGCCCTGATACTGAGCTCATTGTGCTCTTGTACAGTATTTTTTTTTTCACTTGTAAAAACGTGTGCATACATACCCATAAAGCAAAATGTTACGACTTTGTGCAGTTAGGAAATTTATGAATGGTTTTATACTGTACATTTACTTTGCAGCTTGCTTTTTTTAATGTAACAGTATACTTTTTTTATTTTTTATTTACTTTTTATCCTCACCTGAGGACATTTTTCCATTTTTTTGTTCAGATAGAGTGTGGGGGGGTGGGGGGGGAGAGAGAAACATTGACGTGAGAAGGACACATCGAGTGGCTGCCACCCACACAATCCAACCAGGGCCGGGGACAAACTGCAATCGAGGTACGTGCTCTTAGCGGGAACCAAACCCGGGTCTCTCTGGACTGCAGGCCTACGCTCTAACTGCTGAGCCAAACCAGCCAGGTCTAGCAGTATACTTTTGAGATTTATCCAGGTTGATACATAGAGATTTATCAACTGAATATAATATGCCATCATATGAATAAAGCTCAGTTTATCTGCTCACTGTTGATGGGATGTTGATTACATCTACTTTTTGGCAACTACAAACAGTGCTGCAGAGAGTCTTCTTAAACTACAATCCTTGTGTAAGAGTCTGAGTTTCTTTCCTGGTTCCTAGAAGTGAAATTGTTGGATTGTTAAGTATTTACCTCTTCATTCTTAAGTATCACCTAATTGGTCTCTGATGCCATACCAGTTTACATTCTAATGTTTCAGTTCCCATTTCTTTCAGCCTCATCAATACTTTCCATTACCAGATGTGATCATTTTCACTAATTTGATGTGTGTAGAATGGTAATTCATTGTTCCTTTAATTTATATTTCATTGATTCCTAGTGAGGCCCAGCATCTTTCCAGAGGTTTTGTTTGCCTTTTGGGTTTCTGCTTTTGAGCTTGTTTATATCCCTCACTCTTTTTTGTCTACTAGGTTATTTGGCTTTTTCTTACTGATTTGTAGACATTGTTATTATATATGTTGTCGGTACTTTCTTCCAGTCTGTATAGCTTGTTTTTTGCTTTATGGTGCCTTTTTGGTACCTTTTTTCATATAGGTATTATTAATTTCAGTGTAGCCTAATTCATTGTTTTATATTATGGCTTGGTCTTTAATATATCTTGGGTTTGCTGCTGGTGGAAATCATGTTCTCTCACGGGATTTCGAGGAAAGCATTCCCAGACCTACGCATGGGAGATTGTGTTATAGAAAGATATATTCTAGTGGAAATAACAGAAGGTTGCCCTGGCCAGTGTGGCTCAGTTGGTTGAGTGTTGCCTTGTGCACCAAAAGGTCCTGGTTCAATTACTGGTCAGGACACATGCTCAGGTTATGTGTTCGATCCCCAATCAGTGTGCATGCAGGAAGCAATTGATTGATGTTTCTCTCTCACATTGATGTTTCTCTCTCACATTGATGTTTCTCTCTCTCTCTCTCCCCTTCCTCTCTAAAACCAATAAAAATATATATTTAAATAAAAAAGAAATAGAAGGCTGCTCCTGGGTTTTCAATTTCCCTTCCAATCCATCCTGCCATGGAAACAATCCAGCCTTGTCTTTATCAAGGCCAAAACTAAGGTCAGTGTCCAGAGTTTCTACTTCATAGTAAAGCTCAGTTTTTTGTAGCCTGCATGGTTTGCTGTGGGTTCTGGTTGGCTGCTAGACCCAATTTAGAGGGACAGTAGGAAGGGTCAGTTAGGTCAAGAGGTGACAAGGAGGCAGGTTGCAGGGCTTTGCAGGCTGTGCCCATTAAAGGCTTTGGCTCTTATTCCAGGGGAGGTGGGTTTGAGCAGAGGAGTGATGTGATCACATTTACCTCTTTTTTTAATCTTTATCTGAGGATATTTTTTCATTTTATTTTCAGATAGAATGGGAGGGGGAGAGAGCAACATCAGCATGAGAGGGACATATCGACTGGTTGCCTCCTGCACGACACTGACCAGGGCCGGGGACAGACCACAACCGAGATACGTGCCCTTGACCGGAATTCAACTCGAGACTCTTTGGTCCGCAGGCTGATGCTCTAACCACTGAGCAAAACTAGCCAGGGCTCATTTACCTCTTAATAGGAACCCTTTGGTTCATTATGTGCTGCCTTTTGAGTAAGAAAGGGAAGGAGAGATACTGGAGAGAGTGTGTGTGCTTATATTTTAAAGAAAAATAATGGAAAAATAAACCAAAAACTAGCAAAATGTGGTTACCTATAGAGGGAGGGGAGGGAACAGTGTTGGAACAAAGTACTTTTTTGTTAATCTTTACCTGAGGATATTTTTCCATTGATTTTTAGATCAATGGGAGGGAAGGAGAGAGAGAGAGAGAAAGAAACATCGATGTGAGAGAGTCACATCAATTGTTTGCCTTCTGAATGACCCTGATGGGGCCAGGGATAGAACCTGAAACCCAGGTATGTGCCCTTGACTAGTAATTGAACCCGAAACCCTTTGGTCCACAGGCCAGTACTCTAACTGCTGAGCCAAACTGGCCAGGGCGGAACAAAGTACTTTAGTGAATTTACTTTGTTACATATTTTTAACTTTGGAACCATGTAGATATTTTATATAAGTTTTAAAAAGTAAATCCAAAAGGAAAAATTATCCCTAGGATTTAATTTTTTTTTACTTTTTCACTGATTTCAAAGAAAGGAGGTAGAGAAAGAAACATCGATGTTGAGAACGACATTGATTGGTTGCCTCCTGAACAGCCCTGGTCGGGGATGGGGAAGCCTGCAACCCAGGCATGTGCCCTTGACCAGAATAGAACCCAAGACCCTTCGGTCGGTCTGTGGGCCGATGCTCTAACCACTGATCCAAACCAGCCAGGGCAAAAATATCCCTAGGATTTTAAAACACACTGAAACAAATGTATCAAGTTTGTAGCAATGACTGCAGGAGAAAATAATTACTTCAAATCACTTTAAAATAAAATATTTGACTGTTCTTCCTTACTGAGATACAGTCTAAGGACATAGAAAACTGCTAAGAAACCTAAAACTGTATTCAGTAGTTTTATTGTTAGTAACAGGTTTGCTATTATGTTGAAACAATTATAGCTACATTGTAAGATAAAACAAATAACTATGGCAGTGTCGTTAGGAATCACAATTTTCAGGGTAAAAGAAAAGATTACAGGTATAAAAGCAAAGAAATTAAAAGTCCTATAAATCTGAAACTTGAAATGTAAATATCAGTATGGACACAAGATATTTTTACCTAAAAAAAATCTATTTCTGACTCTGTTTACTGAAAAGACTTAGAAATTGTGGCAGTAATACATTATTTGGCATCTCAAGAGCCCAAGTTGTGGTCTCTGCTATTTCCCACTAAAAGGAACTGAGGTTTTTTTTTTTTCAGAAATGGCTAATTCCAGGTTTAGAGCTAGAAATAGACATCATAAACCTAGGGCAGCGATTTTCAACCTTGTTCATCTCATGGCACTTGTAAACTAATTACTAAAATTCTGTGGCACACCAAAAAAATACATTTTTGCTAATTTAACAAGGTAAAAATGAAGCATTTATCTTGCCTTTCCTGTACAATCTAATCTCTGAGAAACCAGAAGGTTAATGAGAGAGTAGACTTCTTTATAGAACTCCAGCTAATAAATGCAGGAGTACTAGAATGAGAAAATCACCGTTTGCCACCCCATTGAGAAAATGGATGTAGGCAGCAGTCACCAGGTGAAAAGATGATGGGGAAATATAATGGAGGGATCAGACTGAAGCCATCTGAAGCCACTGAGCAATTTTGGCACAGAGAAAAAACGATGACAGCCAGAAATGCTGTGCCCCATGATGCAGTGTAATGGGAAATACCTAGCACCACAGTGTTACCAGACTGTTCAGTATATGCATTCTTTTTGAGTCAACTTTTGAAATTTCCCAATAAAATATTTATATATCTTAAAAAAATAGATCATAGAAGATCAAGGATAAAAACAGGGAAACCAGTTAAAAAGCTGTTATCAAATTCCAGGTGAGATTTTGGACAAAAATGTAGCAACTTGGTGTTAGATTCTGGATATGTTTTGAAGGTATTGTCAACAGGATTTGCTAATGGATAGATAATATGTGAAGTTCTAGAGAGAGTCCAAGATGACACCCAGGTTTTTGGCCTAACTAACTGAACAGTTGAGTTGCCATTTACTGAAATGGGGCGGATGGAGGGAGAAGTGGGTTTGTGGGGAAAAATTGGGAAGAGGTACATTCTCAGTTCCATGTCTTCAGCCTGGTAGGCCTTTTGAATATTCATGAGGAGATGTCAAGAAGGCAGTTGGATATATGTGTTGAGTATTGAGGACAGGCCCAGACCTGAGAGATAAATTTGGGAATCCTGAGCATGCAGATGGTGTTTAAAGCTACAAGAGACTGGGTGTGAACACAAAGGGAATGAGTAGCTAGTGAAGTTCCAGGACTGAGCCTGTGAGATGGGGAACAGCAACAAAGAGGGTCCTGTGATATCCTGAGAGCCAGGTGAAGGAAGGTGTGATCAGCTGTCAGATGCTTCTGGCAGTTCAGGGAAGGTGAGGACTGAGATTTGACAGAGAAATTTGGAGATCATTGATGCGTTTGATAAAAGCATTTTCAGTAAGCCTGGTGGTTCAAGGAAGCCTGCCTGGGAGAAGAGAAATGAGAAAACAGCTTTTTCCAGGAGCTTGGAAAGGAAGGGAAAGAAATCTAGTGTTAGCTGGGTGGCAGAGTGTGGTATAGACAGTGCTGGTGGTTGGTTGGTTTGAGAATTACTGATTTATCCTTTTAAGAAGTATTTTTGTGACAGTAAGCTCCCCCCCACTTTATTTTTGACAAATACCAGCATGAAAAAGGTGAATACTAGATACTGTTCGTTAGTTTAAGCATTGTTTACATCTTGCCACATTTGCTTTCTCCACGTATATCAATATATTTTCCAAGATACTTTAAAGTTGCAGACTAATTATTTTAGCTTATTATCAATCTAAAAATTAGGATTTTTTCTATATAACCACAATATCATTATATCCAAGAAATTTAATAATGATATGATAATATCTAAAATACAGTTTATAGCCCTGGCCGGTTTGGCTCAGCGGTTGGAGCATCGGCCTGCGGTGCAGAGAGACCCGGGTTCGGTTCCCGCTAGGGGCGCGTACCTCAGTTGCAGTTTGTCCCCGGCCCTGGTTGGTCGTGAGGGTGGCGGCCACCCGATGTGTCCCTTCACGTCGATGTTTCTCTCTCTCCCTCTCCCTCTCTCTCCCTCCCGCTCTATCTGAACAAAAAGTGGAAAAATGTCCTTGGGTGAGGATAAAAAATAAAATAAAATAAAATACAGTTTATATGCACACTGTATATTGTTGCTATTTTAGTGTCAGGTCCAGGTCTAGTGAATGGTTACCCATTGCTTTTGGTTGTCACATTCCAGAGGGATAAATTTTTTTTAAGGATGGGAGAAATAATAGCACATTCATATGATGATTTTAAAAATCTAGTAGAGCCCTGGCTGGTTTGGCTCAGCGGTTAGAGCGTCGGCCTGCGGTCCGGAGAGACCTGGGTTCGGTTCCTGCTAAGGGCATGTACCTCGGTTGCAGTTTGTCCCCGGCCCTGGTTGTTCGTGTGGGTGGCAGCCACTCGATGTGTCCCTTTCACATCGATGTTTCCCTCTCTCTCTCTCTCCCTCTCTCTCCCTCCCACTCTATCTGTACAAAAAATGGAAAAACGTCCTCGGGTGAGGATAAAAAAAATAAAATAAAATAAATAAAAATCTAGTAGAGTGAAAATCAGTGATGCAGAAGTGGGGGAATTGCCACAGTGATCAACTTGAGAAGGTGAGAAGATGGGATGTATGCTTAGTGGGAGGGGTGGACCTTTGATGGAAGCATGGACAATTTATCCAGGGTAACAGAGAGAAGGCAGAGCCTGTGGGCAGGTGGGGAGAGCTTGAGAAACTTATTTTTTGATTGCTTGTATTTTCTTGGTGAAATAGGAAGAATGATATTCAGCTGAGAGGAAAGAAATGCGAAGAATTGTTATAGGTTTAAGAAGGTATGAAGTCGTCTGAGACAGTCACCTTCAAACTAGGGCATGCATATTGCTGAGCGTACATGAAGATTTTCCTAAGGGTGTGCATTTATGGATGATCTTAAGGGAATTGTTTTGTAGGCCTCAACTTCTGTAGATATACTTCTGAAAAACTAATGTGTCTGAGAAAGGGCCTCTTGACAGTAGGCTTCCTCCCACTTTGGAAGAAAAGGCAGGCTCTCTGTCACCTATCCCAAATCTGAATGAATTATATCACCACTTGGATTGTCTGCTTCTTGTCTGCTCATTGATTTTATTATTCCTCTTTATTTTTGTTCTTAATCCAGAAAAAAACTTATTTTCTGGAAGCAGAATGCCTTTAAAGAACCTTTCACCCCAAATTCCCTTAGCTTATGATCCTGCTTAGGGATTGCCACCTCCTTGTGTCCAGTTTTTGCCTTTCCAGTGTGTGTGTATGTCTGTTTTTGTTTCTCTCACTTGTACTTTGCCTTTACTTTCCTGCCTTTCCTTTGATCGTTGTCATTTCAGGCTTGGTCACGGTGGCAGGAACAGCTCCTGCGTGTCCAGAGGGAGAGACAGAACGTGGTCTCTGCAGTGAAACACTATCAGCATTGGCAAAAGTGGAGATCCCTGAAGGCCTGGCTTGAATACCTGCAGGTCCGGAGGATAAAGAGACGGCGAAATGGTGAGCAGGAAGTCCTGGGCTCAAGAGATAGAGGGTTGGGTCACAATTTCCACTCTCCTTCCGCCAGCGGTGCTAATTTATTACGGAGAGATATAACCATATTATGCCACAAATTTTGGTAAAGGGAGATTGAGGAGGAAAATACGTCCTCCTCAACTCACATTTATTTTCTTCTGGCCTTTTCTTCTATGCATATATTTTATTCGATAGGTTTTCTTTTTTTAATAATCCTTACCTGAGGATATTTTTTTATTGATTTTTTGTTTTATTTTGTTTTTTAGATAGAGTAGAAGGGAGGAAGAGAGAAACATCGATGTAAGAGACACATCAATTGATTGCCTCCCGCATGACCCCGGCTGGGGTTGAGGATTGAACCTGCAGCCCAGGTATGTGCCCTTGACTGGAAATCAAAGCCTCAACCCTTCAGTCTGCTGCCACTGTGCTAACCACTGAGCAAAACTGGCCAGGGCTCAATAGGGTTGTTTTTTTTTTCTTTATTGATTTTAGAGAGAGAAGGGAGAGGGAGAGAGAGAAACATCAATGAGAGAGAACATTGATTGGCTGCCTCCTGCATGCTCCCCACTGGGGATTTGGCCCACAACCTGAGCATGTGCACTGGCTGGGAATCAAACTGGCGACCTCTTGGTGCATGGATCAGTGCCCAACCACCGAGCCACACCGGCTGGGCTCAATAGGGTTTTGGTTTGTTTTTATCCTCACCCGAGGACATTTTTTGCATTTATCTTCAGATAGAGCAGAAGGGAGAGATGGAGGAAGAGAGAAAAATACTGATGTGAGAGAAACATGGAGTGGTTGCCACCCACACGACCCTAGCCGGGGCTGGGGACAAACTGCAACCAAGGTACGTGCCCTTAGTGGAAACCGAACCCAGACCTTTCTGGTCCACGGGCCGACGCTCTAACCACTGAGCAAAACTGGCCAGAGCAAATGTTATATTCTTTTAATGGGTATTTAATAGGATGGCTTACCTTAATCTACTTAGCCATTCTTCTGTGGGTAGATATTTGGATTGTTTATTTGTCCCCAGTTATGAGAATGCATGTGATTTATGATGTTGTTTTTGAACATTTGGTTTAAATGGTTTATTTTCCAGTGAGAGTTCAAAAATAATAAGCTCGGCCGATGTGACTCAGTGGTTGAGCACTGACCCATGTACCAGGAGGTTGCTGGTTCCATTCCTGGTCAAGGCACATGCCCAGGTTGTGGGCCCAATCCCCAGTGGGGGGCAACCCAGAGGCAGCCAATCAATGTTCTCTCTCATCCATGTTTCTATCTCTCTCTCCCTGTCCCTTCCTCTTTCTAAAAAATAATAAAGAAAAAAAAAATTTTAAGTATTAATACATTCATAGGTCATGATCATCAGTACTCTTTGTACTTTTGTTTCTTTAGTTTACCCAGAAGTGCTCAAACTCTGTGCTAGATGCTGGGTTGGGCTCTTCAGCTTTCACCTAGACCTCTCTGCAGAAATCTCTAGCCTGCTACACTGTTTTTGGGGAGAGTTTGAATGTGTCCATTTGAGAATAGTGACAGGGCACCACTGCCTGGTTGCTCAAGCCCTGACCGTGGAGGCATTAAGCTATTAGAAATGATGAGCTGCAGACTCACATTAGACAACGTGTGACAACATTTGAATTCTGGGACCTACTCCCTTCCACTTCCTGGACTTCAGCTTATCAGGTCATTAGCTAATTAGTGTTAAAAGGAGATGAAGTTAGCAGCCTGCATCAGCCTGACTGAAAGCACCAAAAAGCCTTTGCATCTTGTTGACCAAACTGTGTGTTACCGACTCAGCCCCTGAAGTCCTCACTGGGAGACAGTAAAGAGGCAAAAATAAAACGGAGTCTTTGAAAGCAGCAGTCGCTGTTCTTACTCATCAGTATTAACTAGAAGCCTCAGCTCTTTGTTTTTATAGCATCCTCTTCCCTAAAATTATAGACTTTTTCTTTTTCCTTGGAAAGAGGAGATGTAGTTAAGGGATTCCTAATAACTCTTCCATGTTTATAAACCATTTATTCAAGGATTCTTTTGAGAACTGCCTTGAATTCCTGCTGTCTGCCAGTAGTGGGGTTCAGCTTGTATTACAGATGCTTCCTTCTCATTGCCCAATGCCAGAGGGGCAGCACTTAAGTTATTTTCTCTGTTGCAGAGATGGCTGAGCGATTGCACCGAGTCACTGTACTTCAGACACACTTCTGTGATTGGCAGTGGGCCTGGCAGCGGAGGGAGAGCTTGCATGCTCACCATGCACAGGTGGAGATGCTGGCCAGAAGGATGGTGCTGCGGCAGGTCTTTACTCACTGGAAACACTGTATCCTTTTCAGTCTGTCAGCCCTGCCTCAGCCAGGACAGCATGAACTCAGCAGTCTGTAACAAGAGTCGGGAGATACATGGTAAACAATTACTGAATCATTTGATAGTCCTGGTCTCTATTGACTTCTTTTAAAAAGTTTTGTTTAATTGGGAATATTCATACAAAATAATATGTATAACATACCTTTACAGTGTAAAGAATAATAATAAAATGAACACCTATGTTCCTACCACTCAGCTTAAAAAATAGAACATTGCTAATACCCCTGTCTGTTCCTCACTGATGGCGTTCCTTTTCCTCCTCCTCAGAGGTATTCCTACTACCCTGAATTTTTTTTTAAATACTTTTTTCTTTATTGATTTTAGAGAGAGAGGAAGGAAGAGGGAGAGAGAGAGATAGAAACATCAATGAGCAAGAACATTGATTGTCTGCCTCCTGCATGCCCCCGACTGGGGATCAGGTCCACAACTTAGGCATGCGCCCTGACCAGGAATCAAACCTGCAACCTCTCGGTGCGTGGGTTGATGCCCAACCACTGAGCAATACCGGCCAGGCTTTACTACCCTGAATTTTATGTTATAGCCTTTCTCTACCCACTAGGTGATGGAAAGAGCCACAGCCATTTCTGTTTTAGAAGGCCATCTGTTCTTGGCTAATCTATCAATATGATCATAGCTTCCATTTATTGAACTTTTACTGTGTACAGGCATTATGCATTATCTCCTTAATCATCATAGCAACCCTATGGAGTAGGTTGCACTGTATCCATTTTACAGATGAGGAAACATATATTCAAGAGGTCTAAATAATTTTTAAACTCACAGCAAGTCATTGGCAGAGCTAGGATTTTTTAAGCCCTGGCCTGGCCTTTGAGAGTGCACTCTGCCCCCACCACAGTATGTGGCCAGGTGTGAGGATTTAGATTGCCTGGGATTTGCATCCACACGTTTGTTTGTTCATCAAACTCTTGCTTTGTTTTAAACTTCTGCGTAAGTTCTGGAATATGGACAAACTCAAAGACGAACAGTCGTTCATTGTCTAGGAGGAAAATAGACATGAAAATGGGTCTTTACAATATGGTGCAATAAATGCTGTGATAAAGGTTTGTATCAGGTCCTTCAAGAGCTACTGTGGCAATTCAGCCAAGGAGATGTTTGAGCCAAAATGAAGTCTTAGGGGATGATAAGCTCCCAGCAGAGAAATCAGGAAGTGTGTTTCAGGTGGGAGGAGAGGCAAATATGCAGGCATAAATGAAGAAAAGCATCCAAGGATGGTAACGGGTCCGTAGTGGGTTGTGGGCTGTGGATGCAGTAGGGTAGTGCAGGTAGATGCTGACTGGGGACGCTTGTGTGCAGTGGTCAGGAATTTGGGCTTTATCCCGGTGGCACTGGGGATTCTCTGGAAGTATTTAAGAAGTGGTAAAGCAGATTTATACTTTAAAGGATAAATCTAGATAGAGGAGCAAAGCTAACACAGGGAGACCAGTTATAGGAGTTGGCTCTCTTACCAGCCTATGTGACGTACAAATCAAATGAATTGCAGGGTGTTGAGGGTGGGGACAGAAAAACAGGAGAGATTTAGGAGAGTAGAAGGACTTAGCCACTGAGTAGATGGAAAGAGTGGGAGGAGAAAAGATTTGAAAATAACTCCAAGGTTTTTAGCTGAAACATCTAACTGGATTGTGATGCCAAAACAGAATACAGCCCTGGCCGGTTTGGCTCAGTGGTTAGAGCATCAGCCTGTGGACAGAAGAGTTGCAGGTTCGATTCCGGTCAGGGGCACGTACCTCGGTTGTGGTTTGGTCCCCAGCCCTGGTAGGGGTTGTGCAGGAGGCAGTCAATCGATGTCTCTCTCTCACATCCAGATTCTCTCTGTCTCTCCCTCCCTCCCTTCTACTCTATCTAAAAATCAATGGGAAATTAGCCTCAGGTGAGGATTGACAAAAAAAAAACCCCAAAAAAACAATGCAGGAGAAGGAGTAGGTTCTGCTTTACATATGGTACATATAGTGATTTTGAAATGTTTGCTGTGATTGTCGGCAGTGCTTCTCAACTAGTTTTTGCCTCTCATGAAATGGGCATCGGAAGGGAGAAAGGTAAGGCCAGCAGTTTGATAAGTAACTCACATGATATCCCTTTGCCCACTCTTCTTTGGGTCATCAGGAAGAGACAGGTGGATATCAGCCCATCTGCATATTCTATGATCCCCTGCAGTCGGAACCCTTCAGGTAGGTCACTAGGATTGTACTGTGTGTGCGTGGGAACCCTGCTGAGACGACAGGCCTTAACTCCTGGCAGATGTGGTGCTGTGTGCAGAAGGAGCTGCTCAGTGGAAGGTGGCAGAAGAGCACTATAGGCGTAGCTTGCTGGTAAGCATGCCAGCCTTGCTCAGGCATCTACTCTCGGGGCACCCGGACCCATGTCATGCCCTTTCAGTGTATCTGGTCATGTGAGCTTTATCATGAAACCCTCCTCTATTGCCGGTGTCTCTGTTTTCATTTTGGATCAGAGATAGTAATGGTGTGGGATCAGAGGAGTTTGGAGCTATAAAGAAATCTTAGAGATTAGCTAGTCCTGGGGGGAAGCCTACTCGTCTGTAAAATTGGTCCAAGTAGAGATGCGGAGGATAAAGCAATATAAGAGGAGTAGTACCTGTTTTTTCCCCAACTTCACCAATACTTAAGTATCCTATGAGGTTCCACAGAGCACAATATAAGAACCCCTGATTACTTCATTTCTGTCTTGGAAAACTGAAGCCCAGGCTGTGGGGAAATGGACTTTGCTTCGGTCACATGTGAGGCATTGATGGAGCTGGATCCAGACATGCATGCCTGTCCCTACCCCAACCCCGACTCACCAAAGATTCCTCCTCTTCCTTCTACTCTTGCAAAACTGCATTTACGCTTGTGCAAGTGTAGACATTGACCCCACATGGTTAAATAAAAACATCATAGACTAAAAAAAGTCTGTCTCCTTTTTGAGAGGCAAAGTTGGTATTTTAACCTTTGTCTGTAGTGTTCGCATATGAGTCATGGGAATCTCTCCCGGTCAGAAGCGAGGGTGTGTTTGTTCCTATTATTACTATGGACAGCAGGAAGTGGTGTGACAGCTATTTATTAAGTGCCTACTGTGTGGCCTAGTTTCTGTCAGGCTCCCAATTGAAACTCAAAGCAGAGAAACGCTCTCAGGGACATGGGAGCAACTGTGACCAGCTGTACTGACTGGCAAGAGCCCCATGTTGTTTTTACAGATACTTTTGATTTGTGATCCGTTATGTCCTTTCTTCTTTTCACAGCACTTTTGTTTTAGGGCCCTAAGAGACAACGTGACCCATGCCCACCTCCAACGAATAAGAAGGAATCTTGCTCATCAGCAGCATGACATCATGGTGAGGGCCATCTTCTGTACCAGGGCGCTTCTTCTTTTTTTTAGTGCTTTACCATTTACAAATCTTTCACATACATTCCATTTGACCCTCACAACAATCCTGTGAAGTAGGCAGCACAGATATTATTCTTCTCATTTGACAGATGAGGAAAGTGAATCTCAGAGCAGTTAATTGATGTGCCGAAGGTTCTACAGTCAGTAAATAATCTGTATTGATATCAGTCTTTGGCCTAAAAATTCAGCACCCAACCTCCCCTCATACTTGCCCTACCTACTTCACAGGGATAATGAAGATAAAATGAATTCAAGGCTAACCGTATACTTTGAGAGAAAAAAGCACTATATAATTATACCCGCAAACTATAATTTTCCACGATATATGGCTCACTCCCCTTCTCATCCCAGCTTGTGCATGAACGCAGAATTGTGTGTTGCAGGGCGCCTCTTCTGATGGCCATTCTCTTTATAACCTTGGTGCTTACAGATTTGTCCCTAGCCCTTTAGACTCTGAAAACTTGGTGTTCATTTTCTTTAGTAATCCATACCAGCTAATAGAGAAACCCTTGTTTTTGCCTTGTTTAATCCCATTTTTATCTGTTTGCTAAGAAAATTGGTATTTGAATTGGAGGTCAGGGACTGTGGATTCCAACCCTGTCCTACTGAATACAGTTTAAGACTGCACTCTAGGAGGCTTTAGTTGTTTTTGCACTGTAGGTCTGTTCTCTTCAGGGGGTGCTTTACCTGAGGACAACAGACATTCCATCTCTACTTATAGATTGTGTTTCTGGGTGTAGAAGGATGGGGTTTTCTTGTTTTGTTTTTCATCATTTTTTTTAGAGAGAGAGTAAGAGAGAAGGAGGGGGGTGGCGGGCATTGATTGGTTGCCTCCTGTATATGCCCCAGCCTGCAACCTGGGTATGTGCTCTGACTGGGAATCTAAACTACAACCCTTGGGTTGCATCGGCTGACACTAACCAACTGAGCCACACTGTTTTGTTTTTAATTATGGAAATGTTCCAAATGTATAGAAAAATATAGTGTAATAAGCAGCTCTGTACTTAGCATCTCAGTTTAAGAATTGGGGCCTTAACTGGATAGCTTAGTTGGTTAGAGCATTGTCCCGATACACCAAGGTTAGGGGTTCGATCCCCAGTCAGGGCACATACAAGAAGGAACCAATGAATGCATAAATAAGTGGAACAATGAATCAATGTTTCTATCTCTTTCTCTCAAATCAATCAATCAATAAATTAAACAATTGGTAATTTTTGCCTCCTTTTTTTCTTAATCATTGCAGAGTAAATTACAGACATTATGGCACTTTACTTGTAAACATTTCAGCATGCATCACCCATAAAGAACTTTTTCTGTTGTTAATCCTCACCCAAAGATATTTTTTCCATTGATTTTTAGAGGAAGGGAGGGAGGGGGAGAGAGAGAGAGAGAGAGAAACATAAATGTGAGAGAGACACATTGTTTGCCTCCTGACAACCCCAACTGGGGCCAGGGATCGAACCTGCAACCCAGGTATATGCCCTTGACCAGGAATTGAACTCGAGACCCTTTATTCTGAAGGCTGATGTTCTAACTGCTAATCCAAACTGGCCAGGGCTAAACAGAACCTTTTTGTACGCAACCACAATATCATTATGATCCCTAACAAAATCAACAGCAATCCGTTATCCAGTATAGCTCATATTCAAGTTTCCATTATCGCCTTTAAAATGTCTTTATAGCTGTTTTTTTCAAACTAGGATTCAATTAAGGATTGATTACTCACTTCATTTGGTTATGTCTCTTAAGGCTCTTAATTAATAGCAATCCCCTTGTCCCACCCTCTTCTTCTGTTTAACATGTTTGTTTATTTTTTATTTGTGGTAAAATACACATAATAAAGCATCATATTAACTTTGTTTAAGTGTACAGTTCAGTGACATTAAGTATAGTCACATTGTTGTGCAACCATCACCACAATCTATCTCCAGAACTTTTTTTTCATTTTATAGAACTGAAACTCGGTACCCATTAGACTGTAATTCCCTATTCTCCTTCCTTCCAACCCCTGGCAACCACCATGCTCCTTTCTGTCCGTGAATTTGACTGTTCTAAGTACCTCATATTTACAGTATTAGCTTTTTGTGACTGGCTTATTTTACTTAGCATAGTGTACTTTCTTTTTTTTAAATGATGTTGACTTTTTGAAAAGGAAGACCAGTTATTTTGTACAATTTCCATGTTCTTGATTTATCTGTTTGCTTTTGATGTCATTTGATTTTCCTTTTTCCTATGTAACTCCTATAAACTAGAAGTTAGATCTAAGGACTTGATCAGATTGAAGTTAAACATTTTTTTTTTTTTTCTTTTTGGCCAAGTCTACTTTATAGTCAGTAATAATGATAAAGTCATTTTATTTTATTTATTTTTTAATCTAACCCCCCCTTTACTAATCTATAAAGTCATTTTAAATTTCTATAATGGCATTGTCTTCCACAGGCCCAGATTAGAAATAGATTCTGCTTCCCGTAGACTGGAAGATCCTTCATTTTGCTTTTTATTTTGGCCCAGAATAGTTCCATGTAGCTTCTCCATAATCATTTCACAAGCCTGTTATATATTGGGTGCTCCAAATTGAGGCAATTCCTGCTTTGGGGATCTTACAATCCTTTGATACAGAGATTTGCTAACTAATAAGTTAAGAGTGATGAGCTTGCCTTAAACTTCCATTTCCTTTCTGTTTTGTTTCAGCTGCTGCACAGGTTCTGGAACCTCTGGCAGTCTCGGATTGAGCAGAGGGAGGAGAGAGAACAGCTCCCCTTACTGCAAGCAGCCTGGGACCACTACAGGTAGGGACTCTGACCTTCTCCTTGGGCTCTCCAGAGACCACTGTGACTGTCTCACTGATCTCCAGAGGTGATCACTTACCCTTCCATGTGTTACTGCAGCAGGTTCAGAAAGGCCCTACTTTAAAAGTGGTTCCTGAGCTTGTGTTTCCCCTTTGGCTGATCAGAGGAAACATTCTGATTAGAGGAAACATGGAATGAGGATGTTTGTACTCGTTCTTGGCCCCCATAGTTTGAAGTATGTGCCTTCAGGCTTTAGTGATGCCCACCTCGTAGAATTCATGCACAGATACTGTTAAAGAGAAGGTCAGGCTAGGTGAATATTTGTGGCTTGGTCTTCAAGGGTGCAAAGAGTATCCTCAGTTTTTTAGAGTTAATCATTCAGTTAAAATAAATATGTGAATGTACCACATGTTCACGAGGAAAACTCAATATATAGGAAAGAAGGTAGAGAGTTACATAAAAGCTACCTGGGTCCCTTTCTTCCTCCCTCCCCTTAGTCTTACTCTTCAAAGGTAACCATAATTCAGTTTTTTGCTGCCAAAAATGTTCAGTATATCTCCCTTAGAAAGCCAGTTTAATCCACTTAATTTGTATAGTTAGAGGTCTAATTTTGGAACATTTTTTAACAAGTCAGTGAGAATCCCAGTGTTTAACTGACTCAGTTTGGAGTTATCAGGGTATATGTTATTATTATTCTAAGCCCTGGTTTACAGAACTGAATATTGTTTTCATTCTCAAAATCACTGTGTGGCCCTGGCCAGTTTGGCTCAGCGGTTAGAGCGTCGGCCTGCGGTCCGGAGAGACCCGGGTTCGGTTCCCGCTAAGGGCACGTACTTCGGTTGCAGTTTGTCCCCGGCCCTGGTTGGTCGTGCAGGTGGCAGCCACTCGATGTGTCCCTTCACGTCGATGTTTCTCTCTCTCTCCCTTCCTCTCTCTCCCTCCCACTCTATCTGTACAAAAAATGGAAATATCCTCGGGTGAGGATTAAAAAAAAAAAAAAATCACTGTGTGAAAGGAGAGTGGTGGTTATAAACAAGCCCCAGGTTGTAAAACAAGAAGGATATTGGGGGGGATTTCATGCATATGACCTAAGTTCCAGTGATGCTGTACTTGGTGGTCCAGTTAGGTTTACAAGAAAGTTGTCAACATTTTGGGCAAGTCACAGTCCAAAATCAGGGTTGACGGATTTCATGTTAGATATCAGTTCTTATTTCCCTCCTAGAATGAAACCCATGGGGTGCCTTTAACACTCAAGATGTAAATAACTACACCTAAATTTACCTGCCTCAAAATCAAAACAAAAATTTAAAAACCTGAAAGTGGGGTGAGCAGTAACTTGGTGTTCTGTGTTTTATTTCAGAATAAGATTGCTACGCAAGTGTATCAAGCTGTGGTTACAGCATACTCAGAAGAGGCAATACAAGCAGGTATGAGTACTTCACAGATAGCTCTTCTGGCTTATACTCTTGGATTCATTTGCTTTGGAAAGATACTTGGAAAAGGCCTATGCCAAGAGGTCTTAGTGTTCAGATTTGGAAGAGAGGGTGCTGTAAAAAGCTCAGAAGTATTTCCCCCAGTCCGCCTATGATGTGGGAACGTGTGCATAACTCCCATTCCTTCATCTGCTATGAAAATGCAGGTGTTCTCTGAAAGTGATGAGCTCGTAATGGCCATTCATTCCATGTATACTTTTACTGAAATTTATTTATTACATTAGTTAGCTAGCCCATCACCCAGTGAGACCTTTAAAAGATATGGGGAAAGGGGTAGAGCATAAGTGCCTTATCCTAGTGCTAAACAGTGTGAGACGCAGGTACCACAGTGAGTGGGAGGAGATGGGTGTCAGGCTGATGAATTAGTGAAGGCAGAGTGAGATGGATTCAGTTCCATTTAAGAAAGACTTGCTGAGCAGCTGCCGTGCCTCAGACACTGCGCTAAGCACTGAGGATACCACTGTGATACAAAGCAGACAAAGGAAGCTCCTCTCACAGGGTTGTTGTTTAGCCTCACGGTGGCAAATAAGTGTGATCTTGCAGGCCAGCTCCAGTGATGGGTAGCTGTCTGGAGTGCTGAGCTGAGAAGGATTTTGTGGCCACGTTCAGGCTCTGGGGGCCATGTATTCAATTGATGATGTCTGCATGGGCATTGTAGTGGGAAGTGATGCTGTACATACCTCTTTTTGGCCATGCCTGGCAGTGAAATGAGGCAAGACACAGACCAAACCTGCCCCCGTTATTTCTGCAGTTCTCTCTCCATCTCCACCTCCATCTGCTGCTAGAGTCTCAACATGTAAATATAAAGATTTTGGCTGATTCCTTGTAGTTTGGGATAGACTCCAAATTTTTTAGTAAGGCACACAAACTGGTCCTTGTCTGTTTCTTTACCCTTTTCTGTTACCGCTTTGTTCCTTTGCAACTGCACCCTGACCAATTAAGCTGCCGCTCCTTCCCTGAAAGTACTGTTTTCCTGCTTCTCACTGTACCTGCACTTCTCTGTTCCTCAGTACCCTTTCCGCTCAGGTGTTACCTCTTCCCCAGCCCCACCCAGGTGTATCTTGATCAGAGTATTCATCACATGGTTTTTTACTGGCCTCTCTCCCTATCAGACTGTGAGGTCCTTGAGGGTTCAGCCTGTCTCTTTCTTCTCCTTATCCCAACACATTACTTGGTGTAGGGTATGTGCTGACTCACATTTGGACAAATTAACAAACGAGTGAACAAAAAAACAAGTGAACTGCCACTGATTGCTTCAAAATTTTCCCCAGGTTTTGACTCAATTCTTGGAGTTTGGATAGTTAACTCAGGGCATGGCTTGTTCCTTTGGGTTATGTGGGTGTTTTTGGAAGGACATTAGTCACTTGATCTCTTAAGCTCACTTAATGCAAGCGCAACAGAATGTAGAGAGAGACCTTTTAGAAAAAGAATGTCAAGGCCAGAGTTGGAAAGTTGTGTTTATTCAAGGTGGAAAGTAGAAGGTCTCTTAGTTCCTTCCTGGCAAAAGAGAGCTCATTGACACTGGTAGAAGGTCAGGGGTCAGTGCTCTTATCTGTCACACTGCTCCAGCATGGCCTGCGCAGTAGGTAGAGCCCTGCTTAGTTTTGTTGTTGTTTTAAAAAAATCTTTAGCTGCTCTGGCCAGTTTGGCTCAACGGTTAGAGCATCGGCCTGTGGACCAGAGAGACCCTGATTTGGTTCCTGTTAAGGGCACGTACCTCGGTTGCAGTTTGGCCCTGGCCCTGGTTGGGGTTGTGTGGGTGGCAGCTAGTCGATGTGTGTCTTTCCCTCCCGCTCTGTCTGAAAGATAAATGCAAATATGTCCTCGGGTGAAGATTAAAAAATGAAATCTTTAGCTAACGATATTAATTTGATCACTTGGTTTAGTTATTTATTTATTTATTTTTTTGTTATCCTCACCCGAGGAAATTTTTCCATTTTTTGTTTAGGTAGAGTGGGAGGGGGAGAGAGAGAGAGAGAGAGAAACATCGATGTGAAAGGGACACATCGAGTGGCTGCCACCCGCACGACCGACCAGGGCCGGGGACATACTGCAACCGACGTATGCGCCCTTAGCGGGAACCGAACCTGGGTCTCTCCGGTCCGTGGGCCGACGCTCCAACCGCTGAGCCAAACCGGCCAGGGCTGGTTTAGTTATTGAAGGGGCACATCAGTTCTTTCTATTTCAGGAACAGATAAAAGTATTAATTATTGAGGGTTTCTTTTTTTTTTATCCTCACTCGAGGACATTTTTGCATTTATCTTCAGATAGAATAGGGGGAAGAGAGAGAGAAACATTGATGTGAGAGAGACACATCAAGTGGTTGCCACCCACATGACCCCAACTGGGGCCAGGGACAAACCACAACTAAGGCACATGCCCCCAGTGGGAACCGAACCTGGGACTCTCCGGTCCGTGGGCCAACGCTCCAACTGCTGAGCCAAACCAGCCAGGGTGATTTCTTTCTTTTTAAAACATAATATATAGCCCTGGCCAGTGTTGCTTAGTGGTTAGAGCATTGGTCTGCACACCAAAGGGTTGCAGGTTTGATCCCTGGTCCAGGGCATGTACTTGGGTTGCAGGTTTGATCCCTGGCCCTAGTCAGGGCGCATGTGGGAGGCAACCAATCGATGTGTCTCTCTCACATCATTGTCTTTCTCTCTCTCTCTGTCTCTCTCTCTTCCTCTCCCCTCCCACCCACTCTATCTGAAGATAAATGGAAAAATATCCTCAGGTGAGGATTAAAAATAAATAAATAGATAGATAGATAGTCCTATAAAAAAAGCAAACAAACCGCCAGACATTCATATATGTGTCCCCCTCAACAAGGTTTTGGATTATTTTTATGTCAGTTGTTTGTCTTTCTACTGATATATCAGTGAAATAGTAGTAGCCTTTTATAGTTACATTAAAATTTAAAGAATCTCTTATAAATAAACATCATATTGATAACATACATGACAAAGGACTAATACGTTTCTTAAAGTTGAAATTTTTTTTTCAATCCTCACTTGAGGATATTTTTTTTCCATTTATCTTTAAATAAAGTGGGAAGGAAGGAGAGAGGAAGAGAGAGAGAGAGAAACCTCGATGTGAGAGAGAAACATCGACCGGCTCCCTCCTGCAGCTGGGGACCGAATCACAACCAAGGTAAATGCCCTTGACAGAACTCAAACTCAAGACTCTTTGGTCCAAGGATCAGCGCTCTGACCACTTAGCCAAACTGGCCAGGGCCATTTCTTTCTTTCTTTCTTTCTTTCTTTCTTTCTTTCTTTCTTTCTTTCTTTCTTTCTTTCTTTCTTTCTTTCTTTCTTTCTTTTTTTAAATTTTTTTTCTTTATTGGTTTTAGAAAGAGAGGAAGGGAGATAGAGAGGGAAAGATAGAACCATCGATGAGAGAGAACATTGATTGGCTGCCTCCTGCATACCCCCCACTGGGGATCAGGCCCACAAACAGGGCATGTGCCCTGACTGGGAATCGAACCGGGAACCTCTTGGTGCATGGGTTGATGCTCAACCACTGGGCCGCACAGGCCGGGCTAGGGCCATTTCTTTAAAGTTTAAAAAGTCCATATGTAACACTGAGTTACATGCTGACAGATAGCAAAACAGGCAATGAATATGAACATTTAGGCCGTGGGAAAACAATTTAGATAAATATAAATATACATAACACATATAAATTATATGAAGAGATGCTTAATCCCCCCTTTTTTTTTTTTTTTTTTATCCTCACCCGAGGACATTTTTCGATATTTCAGATAGAGTATGAGGAAGAGAGAGAGACACATCGAGTGGTTGCCACCCACATGACCCAACCAGGACCAGGGACAAACAGCAACCAAGGTCCGTGCCCTTAGCGGGAACCGAACCCGGGTCTCTCTAGACCGCAGGCCAACGCTCTAACCGCTGAGCCAAACCGGCCAGGGCTTAATCCTATATTTAAAAAATTATTTTATTGATGTTAGAGAGAGAGGAATGGAGAGAGGGGGAGAGAGAGAGAGAGAGAAACATCAGTGTGAAAGAGAAACAGATTGGTTGCCTCTCATACACACCTCGGCCAGGAATCAAACCCACAACTTGGGTATGTGCCCTGATCAGGAAGTGAACCTGTGATCTTTTGGCACATGGGACAGTGCTCAGCCAACAAAGGCACAACATCCAGAGCTTAACCCACTTTTATTTATTTATTTATTTTATTTTTATTATTAATTAATTTTTGTTACAGATGTTTCTCCTTTTTCCCCCACTGATTCCCCCCTCCCTCTCCCTCCCTGCCCTGTCCCCAGCTTTGTTGTCCATGTCCATTGTTCATGCATACATGCATATAAGTTCTGTGGTTCATCTCTCTTAACCTACTTTTAATTAAAGTGAATAGTTTTCATCTCTCATATTTCAGTTTTTCCCTATCATGTTAACAGAGATTTAAAATGATTTAATCTTTCCTGGCCAGTGTGGATCAGTGGTTTAGCGTCAATCCATGCACCAAGAGGTAGCCAGTTTGATTCCTGGTCAGGACACATGCCCAGGTTGTGGGCCCGATCCTTATTGGGGGGCATGCAGGAGGCGGCCAATTGATGTTCTCTCTCATCTATGTTTCTATCTCTCTCTCCTTCTCCCTTCCTCTCTCTCTAAAAATCAGTAAAGGAAAAATAAAATAATAAAATGATTTAATCTTGGCTGGGTAGCTAAGTTGGTTAGAGTGCTGTCCCAATACGCCAAGGTTTTGGGTTCTATCCCTGGTCAGGGCACATACAAGAAGCAACTAATAAATGCATAAATAAGTGGAACAACAAATTGATGTTTCTCCTTTTCTGTCTTTTTTCTTTTTTTCTCTCTCTCTCAAATTAAGAAATTAAATGGCTGGTTTTGCTCAGTGGTTAGAACATCGGCCTGAGGACCAAAGAGTTGTGGGTTCAATTTCAGTCAAGGGCATGTACCTTGGTTGCAGTTTGGTCCCCAGCCCTGGTTGGGGTCATGCAGGAGGCAACCAGTTGATGTATCTCTCTCACATCAATGTTTCTCTTTCTCTCTTCCTCTTCCTCTCCCTCTCTCTCTCTCTCTCTCTCTCTCTCCCCCCTTCCCTCCTCCCACTCTATCTGAAGATAACTGGGAAAAGTATCCTCGGGTGAGGATTAAATAATGAATTAAAAAAATTTTTTTTAGCCCTGGCCAGTTAGGCTTAGTGGTTAGAGCATAGGCTTAGGGGTTAGCGCATTAGCCGAGGACCAAAGAATCTCAGGTTTGATTCTGGTCAAGAGCACATACCATGATTACAGTTGGATCCCTGGCCTGGTCAGGATCATGTGGGAGGCAGCAAATTTATGTCTCTCTCATATTGATGTTTCTCTCTCTCTCTTTTCCTCTCTTTCTCCCACTGTATCTGAAAATCAATGGAAAAATATCCTTGGGTGAGGGTTAAAAAAATTTTTTTTAAATGATTTAATCTTTTTTTGAATTTTGTGTAAGAAGCAAACCTCCCTCAAGAGTGTGACCTTGTTCTGCACAGCAAAAGATACAATCATCAAAATGGAAAGGCAACCCACTGTATGGGAGAGCATAATTGCCAATGATACATCAGATAAGGGGTTAATTTCCAATACATATAGAGTGCTCATACAACTCCACAAAAGGAAGACAAAGAACCCAATTAAAAAATGGGCAGAGGAACTAAATAGACACCTCTCCAAACAGGACATACAAATGGCCAAGAGACATATGAAGAAATGCTCAACATCACTAATCATCAGAGAGATGCAAATTAAAACAACAATGAGGTATCACCTCACACCTGTCAGATGGCCGCCATCAACAAATCATCATACAACAAGTGTTGGCGAGGGTGTGGAGAAAAGGGGACTCTAGTACACTGCTGGTGGGAATGCAGACTGGTGCAACCAGTGGAAAACAATATGGTGTTACCTCAAAAAATTAAAAATTGAACTTTCATTTGACCCAGTGATCCCACTTCTAGGAATATACCCTAAGAAGCCTGAAACACCAATCAGAAAGAGTATATGTACCCCCATGTTTGTAGCAGCACTATTTACAATAGCTAAGATCTGGAAACAGCCCAAATGTCCATCAGTAGACGAATGGATAAAAAAGCAGTGGTACATATACACAGTGGAGTACTATGCAGCTGTAAGAAAGAAAGATCTTTTATCCTTTGAGACAATATGGAGGGACCTGGAAAGTATCATCCTAAGTGAAATAAGCCAAGCAGAGAAAGACAAGTATCATACGATCTCACTTATTTGTGGAATATAATGAACATAACAGTCTGAGGAATGGGGTAGTCCCAGAGATGTGGAAGTAGGGTACAGACTGACAATCCCCAGAAAAGGGGGTGGTGGGGGAGAGATAAACCACAGAACTTATATGCATGTATGCATGAACAATGGACAGCAAAGCTGGGGACAGGGTGGGGAGGGGGAAGGAGGGGGAAATCAGTGGGGGGAAAAGGAGAAACATCTGTAACAAAAATGAATTAATTAATTTAAAAAAAAAGTGTGACCTTGAAAGGTCATTTTCTCTTTTTACTGAAAAATAAAAGTTATTTATTGTTTTACTTTAGTTCTTACAGGCCAGAGCAGAAAGTCACTTCCAGCAGAGAGCCCTGCCCATGGCCTTCCAGGCTTGGAGAAGACTCTGGCGATGGCGCCAGCAAGAAAGTGTCCTTAATGCAAGAGCGGCACGCTTTCACAGGTATGCAGCTGGGGCTGGCGTCTGAGGTCAAATTCTGCCCCCACATAGCCATTTGCTGTGCTTTTCAGCCTCTCAGACCCCTAGGCCCGAGTTCTTCCTGGTTTTTCAATAATGTGCGCTTATTGATTTCATCTAGCAGGAAGACAGTATTTTCCCTCAGGAGAACCTTGGTCTGTCTTTATTGGAAATGCTTTCAAAACAGTCTGGGTTTTATGTCCCTTCCTTTCCTCATTACAAATGACAGTGAGCTTCATTAAGGCTGCCCATTAGCTTTCTGGATCAGAGTGTAATTGGACCTTGCATTGCTTTGGCGGGCATTCTTGAGTGTGATTTCCCTGAAGCGTAAGGGTGATTTCCCTGAAACGTTGGGTTCCTGGCTTTTTGAAGTCTTGAAATTAGGAGCAGAGTTACATCTTTTAAGCTGCCATGGGGCAAATTTGCCAATAGCAATGTTGGTGGAGTATAATGAAATTATTAATCACTAACTGTTTGTCTGCCACTGTGGTCGGCATGGTGTGATGGGAGAAAGGAAACAAATAGCTAGACTTGTTTGCTTATGACATCATCATCTTCATGAATAATTTCCCTCCCCAGCAGTCCTGAGAGAACAGGTTCAAAACGATAAATGACTCACCCATCTAACACAAACAGTAGTTAACAGAGCCAGAGTTTAAATTCAGAGTTCTGTGATTCCATAGTCCGAGGAGGAAGAAGATCTTTTTAATGATTTCATAGGAGATAAGACTCACGCAAGAAATAATTGAACGGTTCAAGAGAACAGATACTTGTGTCCTCAGTTGTGTCATCTGCAAGTTCTAGAGCTCAGAGCTAGTGCTGAGGGTAGAATCTGGGGGAAACTTGGCTTTGAGCTGAGGGGCTGAGAATGGATGGTGGGAGTGGGCAGGATGAGAAGGACCAGACTGAGGGGATTGCCTGATCCTACAGATAGATAATGGACAGATGTCTGAGCTGGTGCATGCAGCTAGTAAAATGACAGTTATGGAAACTGCCCTGAGTATGGTGTTAACAACTTAGGACCGAGAGATGAGAGGGAGGGGACATGTATTGGAAGAAGTTGCAGTGATCTTGACTTAGGAGAACTCTGACTGCTTACCTGAGGGGATCGGCCAGAACTTCAGGGCTCCTCCGCACAAAGTCCAAGGACATGTGTTTAGGGCGTGGTCATGGGGAATAGTGACTGATGAGGGGATAGCACTTACCTCTATCCCTTCTGCAGAGACAGTTGCTATGCCTTTACCTGGTTTCTGTATTGACTTCTGGTATAAGATTCATTCAAAATATGGCTTCACTGCTTAAAACACATACACCTCTTTGTTTTCTTTACAAATAAAGCCATGATTGATTCTGTTTTTTCTTTTTTTTTGCACTTTAGCATCTCTCAGGGAACAAAAATTGAGAGTACCTTCAAAATAGCCAGGAGGAGCTTCTAAAAGGACTTTTGGTGGGGAGCAGTCTTGGGTGAATTGGAGACAGGGAATAGCCAGGAAACTTCAAGGGTAGGGAAGGCCTGATTCTCTTGTTTTGGTTTAATTGGATCTTTGTAGAAAGCTTAGTTTTTCAGGTTCCTGTCTTCCTGTTTTGGATAGGCCTGAGTTCAGACCTTGTTCCGCTGCTTGCCAGCTCTGTGACCCTGGGCCAGCCACTCAGTCTCTCTGAGCCTCAGTTTTCTCAAATTAAAATGGAGATGATTTGCTAATAGTCCTTTTCTCATATGGTTGTCAGGAAAACTAGTGGAATAATCCATGTAAAATAAAAGCAGGTGCCCACACAAAGTTTAACTATCCCCCTTACCCCTAGCCAGTTTGACTTGTGACTCTTACAGTAAATTAACATTCATGGGTTGGTTTGGAGTTTAGCAAATCAGAGTTCCAAATAAATATGTATGTTCATCTTTCCATAATTCTTAGGGTGTTTTTAAAATATTTTTGACTGCTTTTATTTATTTATTTATTTTTTATTGTTGAGAGTATTACAAATGTCCCCCATTTATTATTGATTGAGAGACAGACAGACAGAAACAGCAATTTGTTGTTCCACTTATTTATGCATTCATTAATTGCTTCTTGTGTGCCCTGACTGGAGATCGAACTCACAATCTTGGCATATTGAGACGACTAGCTAACCAACTGAGCTGTCCAGCCAGGGTGCCTTGGACACCTGTGGCACCTTTATTGAAAATCACTTGGCCGAATATGTTTATATCTATTTCTGGATTTTCTCTTCTGTTCCATCTGCAACCGAGATATGTGCCCTTAGTGGGAACTGAACCTGGGTCTCTCTGTACTGTAGGCTGACGCTCTAACCGCTGAGCCAAACCGGCCAGGGCATGTTTATCCTTATTACCATAAACAAACCTAACACTGTGCTGCCAGCCGTATAAAAGTATAGCACATACAGTGGGAATTATGGACAGTGCATAATACTTGATAATAAGGTACTATTTACTATACTATACTTTTATATTGTTAATTGATTTTCTTTGTAAAAATTTATTTTTCAGTGATAGTTGATATACAATATTATATTTGTTTCAGGTGTACAGCATAGTGATCAGGTGTTTATATACCTTACAAAGTGATCACCCTGATAAGTCTAGTACCCATATTTTTTACTATATTCCCTATGCTGTACTTTATACTTTTTATCATTAATTTAGAGTCTGCTCTTTTTTTTTTTTTTTTATCCTCACCTGAGGACATTTTTCCATTTTTTTGTTCAGGTAGAGTGGGAGGGAGAGAGAGGAAGAGAGAGAGAGAAACATCAACGCGAAAGGAACACATCGAGTGGCTGCCACCCGCACGACCGACCAGGGACGGGGACAAACTGCAACCGAGGTACGCGCCCTTAGCGGGAACCGAACCCGGATCTCTCAGGACCACAGGCTGACGCTCCAACCACTGAGCCAAACCGGCCAGGGCTAGAGCCTGCTCTTTCTACTTATAAAAAGCGTTTATTGCTGCTAAACAAACTAGACCCAGAGACAGAAAGAAGTATGGTTCAGACTGACAGACCTCTGAGGAGGAAGAGGGGGTGGCTGAGATAAACCAAAGAACTTATATGCATATAAGCATAACCAATGACAACAGTGACATAGACAACAATGCTGGGGGGTGGGGAGACGGGATGGGGAAGAGGTTGTCTGGGGGGGAAAAGGAAAAACATCTGTAGCAAAAATTAATTAAAAAAAAAAAACACGTTTACTGTAAAACAGTATGCTGTTATGCTGGCAGCAGCCTTGTATTTTTGTGTTTACCACAAACTTGATTGCATCATGTTTTTCTTGAATTAATCTTGTGTTGTGTGATGAATCTCGTGTCTCCTAAGTGTACAGTGCTTATAGAGTCTGCGTAGTGTGCAGTCATGTCCTAGGCCTTCATGTTCACTCGCCGCTCACTCACTTCTCACCCAGAGCAACTTCCAGCCCTGAAAGCTCCATTTATGATCAGTGCCCTATACTATGTGCCATTTTTCATGTTTAGATAGGTTTAGATAAACCAATTATTACCATTGTGTTACAATTGCCTACAGTATTTACTATGGTAACGTGTTGTACAGGTTTGTGGCCTAGGAGCAACAGGCTATACCATCTAGGTTTGTGTACGTGCACTCTGTGATGTTCGCACAGCGATGAAATCACCTGTTGGGGCATTTCTTAGGATGTATCCCTGTCGTTAAGTGATGAATGACTGTATACAATTCAGTGGCATTAAGCACACTGTGTAATGCAACCATCATCACTATCCATTTCCAGAACTTGTTCATTATCCCACACGGAAACTTTGTGCCCATTAAACAATAACTTCCGGCCCGGCCGTTGTGGTTCAGTGGTTGAGTGTTGATCCATGCACCAAGAGATTGTTGGTTCGATTCCTGGTCAGGGCACATGCCCAGGATGTGGGCCAAATCCTCAGTGGGGGCATGCAGGAGATGGCCAGTCGGTGTTTCTATCTCTCCTTCTCCCTTCTTCTCTTTTTAAAATTCAGTAAAAGAAAAAAAAATACACACAAAAACATAACTTTCCATTTCCATTGACCCCCAGCCCCTGGCAACCTGTAACCTATTTTCTGTCTTTGAATTTGCCTATTCTAAGTACCTCATATAAATGGAATCATTACAATATATGCCCTTTTGTGTCTGGCTTCTTTCACTTAGCATAATGTTTACAAGTTTATCCATGTTATAGCATGTTTAAGATTTTCATTCCTTTTTATGGCTGAACAATGTTCTGTTGTGGCTATGCCACAATCTGTTTATCCATCCATATGTTGATGGACACCTGGGCTGTTTCCACTTTTGGGCTGTTATGAGTAATGCTGCTGTGAACATTGATGTACATGCGTCTGTTTGAGATCCTGATTTTAATTGTTTTGGGTATACACCTAGGAATGGAATTACTGGATCATATGGTAATGCTATGTTTAACTTTTTGAGAAACCACCAAACAATTTTGTTCTTTTTTGTACTTTTTATTCCTCTGCTGAAACTCCCTGTCTTGTAACTAATTTTGTTCATCTCTTCATTTATACACTCAAAATTATTTATTAGAGTTCTTTAAGTTTTTACTGATTCCAACATTGTAAGAGTTTCTGTTGACAGCCTTTTTCCTTTCAAGGGTTTGCGTTTTTTTCTGGCAGGTGTGGTTCCCCTTCCGGCGGTTCCTGTGCTCCTGTAAAGACTGGTTTTATTCCTTCTTCCTGTGGGTCTTTTTGTTTGTCTTCAGTGTTAGGCATGGCTGTTACTCCTGAGGCTTCTCAGTGAATTCTCTCCTCTCTGAATGGGCTGGAACTCCATCTCCCAGTCCTGTCCAACCTCTGGTATCTCCACTTAGCTCTTGGGCCTACAGCTTGCTGCCTAGGGCAGCCTCACATAGAATTCTGGGTATTTCCCTTGATGACTGTGCAAAGTGTCCATGAGTGTGCCTGTATGTGAGGGGTGGGCCTCCCTAGGCTATAGGCACTCAGGCACTGTGGCAGCCTTGAGGTGTCGATGGTTGGGGTGAGGTCTCTGCCTGCCCAGGCTTAAGAAGGCCAGACAGGTCCACACAGTCCTTGAGTCTTCTGTCTCAGCTCAGTGAGACTGTCATGCTCTGCTTAGACGTCCTCCTCCTTCCCTCACTGTCCACGAAGTGCCCTGGGCAAAAAGCCTGGGCTGCTGAGGGGCTTACCTTGCATGCTTTCCATCTTGCAAGGATCGCAGCCTATGTTGCTTGCTGTCTAGGATCTGAAAACAGTTGCCTCATGTATTTTGCCCCATGACTCTGCCAGTGCACAGCCCCTGGTGGTGTTGACCAGTTGTCACAGCCCTGCATTTGCGGGTTTTGACATCGTTATGGTGAGTAGGTGGGCTGAGGCGGAGGTGACAAAGCAGTGCTTCCTAAACCTATCTCCCTGTCTACCTACCACTTCCTGGCAGCCTCAGACCTGCTCAGTTAGCCTGGGAGGCAGGGCATCTGTTTTTAACCACTTCACGCAAGGCTGTGTGTCCTGGCTGGCCAGCGTGGACTAGAACAGCTTTCACTAATCATTGTTGAGCACTGTTGGTAATTCAACTTGGAATCGAGGAAGATCTTGGGTCTTAAAGTCTGAGTCTTGTTCATGTTGTGTGAATGCTTGGCTGATACGAGAAATACTTGGAAGGTATTCGGTGGTTTGTAGATTTTTTGCCTGTTATTTTCTGCTTTCCTTTTCTTCTCCTTTTCTTTCTCCCCATCTAATCTTGTCTCTTAATAGCACAGTGTAAAAGAAAAAATCCACTTGGAACTTCTCATTCTATTATTTTTCTTTTTTAGGGAGACATTAGAGAAGCAAGTCTTTGCTATTTGGTGGCAGAAGATGTTTCAGCATCAAGAAAACCGCTTGGCAGAGAGGATAGTAAGTGGCTTTCCCCAAGGAGGTGCCCGGGACAGGCAGGACCTGTTTCAAGCCTCTGCCTCCTCTCAGGACATCGCCTGAACCCACACCCACCATGAAGGACATCCTGCTCACAGGGCAGGGCCAGGGTCTGGGGCATCTGTTTCCTTTGCACAGACGGCTTCTGGGCCAGGGCAGCTACCTCCTGAATGTCTGTTTCTTTTGCCTTGTCTTCCTGGCCTCTGTGTCCTCCTCCTTGACCATTCTGTTCTCTCCCTGCCGTCCTGTCGCAGGCCATCCTTCACGCCGAGCGGCAGCTCCTGCGAACGTCCTGGTCCAAGTGGCTCCAGCGGGCAGCAGCACATCTCCAGGAGCGGCAGTGGCGAGCAGTGGCCTGTGCCCACCACCGCCAGGCGAGGCTCAGGGAGGTTTTCTCCATTTGGAAGAACAGTGCCCGAGGGCTCCGAGCAGAGTGAGTGGGTGCTTCTGCCATCTCAGACCAGCTTAGATCGTCGTGGCAGCACTCTCGGCTCTGAGTGCCCCGCCAGCGGGTCATGTTAGCCTAGACTCTGGTTTTAAGTTCCGGAAATGCAATCTGAAACACTAAGCAAAACCAGGGCTGTACTGAGAGGATCCTAGACACATGTCTGTGGGTCTGGTTGGGGCCCATTCGAAGTGACCATGGCCAAAGAACAGACTGATGGGCTTGTTTAGGGGTAACTGACCCCCTGGGAGCAGCAGCTCTGGTCAGGGTCATGGTGTGACAGTTTTTGCCATACCATGTGATTATTGGAGCAGCATAGACAGCCACATGTCTGCTGCAGACACTCCTGCTTTGATGCCTTTCTGTATCCGCTTTGTGCTGCGAACATGTCTGCTGCAGACACTCCTGCTTTGATGCCTTTCTGTATCCGCTTTGTGCTGCGAGGATCTCCCCTCGTCTCAGACTCTGGCCACATTGAACCTCCTACACCGTCATCTGCACATGAACAGCCTTCAGTGGTACCTAAGCCCTGTGAGGTTGTCTGACAGAACTTGATTACACGTTCACTTTCCCAGGTGGAGAGCTCAAATCCTTTGGCAGCTCTTCAGAGTGGATCTCGACTCCCCTCCGCCCCTAATTTAAGAGCCACTAAGCAGGAGCCAGGGACTGAAGGGCACCCACGGAGAGGGCCCAGCTGGGTCTGGGCTGCGGCACTGAGCACTGACTCTCTCCTCACAGGAAGATGGGCAGGGTGCTGGCTGCAGAATTCCACTCAGCACGGCTTCTGCGTTGGGCCTGGAACAGGTGGAGGGAGGTAAGGCTTTGGCACAGGTGCCACCCACCTGTGGCTCGTGGACAGGTGGAGCTGTGTGTCAGCGTGACTCAGCAGCCATATGGGTCCTCCCCAGTCCCTCTGAAACCACCTGCCTCTGAGCGTAGGGAAGAGGCCGGGCAGCAAATGAATGTTAACCTGATTTCATGAAATGATTGGCTCAAAATTCCTGTTCTTTTACGTGTTAGGCTTTTCTTATCTGAACTCACTGAATGTGAAATTCCTAGTCTAACCATTGATAGGCATCTTTCTCTGAGCAAAGGTATTTATGATAATGTTGCTGGAGCATTTACCCTAAGTCAGGTACTGGCTCCGTTTGATCCTCACAAAACCCCTAAAGATACCTATTTATAGATGAGAAAGCTGGGGCTCCCAGGTTTCATACCTTACCCAAGCTCACCCAGACTGTGTAAAATGGAGGCAAAGCTGAGCCTGCCCTCCTTGGCCCTCCGTGACCAGCTCTCTCCTCTGTCCACAGTGCCTGGCCCTCCGGGGCGCTGAGCAACAGGAGCTAATGCGAGCAGACCTGCATCACCAGCACGCCTTGCTGCACAGGGCGCTGCAGACCTGGGGGGTAGGAGCTGCTGTTCCTCCGCCTCCCTTGTCTGCCCCTCTTAGAACAGAGCAAGTACCGTGGACAGTGAGTCTACAGCCATAGGGCTAAGTTCTTCCTTCCTTGCTCAGTAAATACAAACAAGAAGAGTAAAAAGTGTTTGGGGTACCAGCCTTACTGTCAGAGTTGCCCCCGATCCAGGAGTCCAGTGGTTGGACTTACTAGCTGAGGGCTTAGTGAGACATTCCTCTCCCTGCTGTCCAGGTGGTCTCCTGGCCTTTTGCCCTTTGGCCTCTTCCCATCCTCTGGTCAGTGCTCTGGGGATCTAAGTCCCTGCTGAGAACCTCTGAGGCCTTCCTGGGAACGGGGGGAACTGTGGGTGCAGGGGCAGCCTCCAGTCCTGGTCTCCTGCAGACTTACCAGAGCCGGGTGCGGAGCATCCTACAGGAGGTGGCGTCCAGGGAGAGCCAGCACAAGAGGCAGCTGCTGCGGTGAGTCTCCCAGCGTCTTTCGGGCCCAGCCTGAGGATCAGGGAACAGACTCCAGACACAGGCCGAGCCTGGCTGCCTCGCGCTGCTCATAGCGTAGCTTTGCTTTTCCACAGTGAGCGCTCCATTCGCTGGTTCCCCTCATGTCTCGAGTGCCTGCTGTGTGCAGAGCGGGACCTGTGGGAAGCAGGTCTCACCTGCATGTCTGTGAGATCCGCCACTTGTCTTGCTCCTCTGAGCACTTCCCCTCCCTACTTCAGACCTGGAAGATTCCGCTTCTCGAGGCCCCTTTAGCACCCCTCCTGCTCTAGAAGCTGCACTGGCTCCCTCCTGTTGCCTCTCAGTTCCCAGTCAGTCGCCTCCCCACTTGACTCTTCAGACTTCACAGACTCCAGAGTCATCTCTCTACTGCTTAGGCCCTTCTGCGTCTGACAGCTTTGGAGGTTACCTACTGCCTCGGCTCCAGCTCCCTCCTGGGCCCATCCTCCAGCTCCTGCTAAGCCAGGCTCTAAACTCGCTCTCGTGCAGGGCTTCCTCATTCTACTCTTTCTGTTCTTTCCTCTGTATTTGTTCCGTATACACTGTTCGAAGCTGCCTGTGGGTGGTGGGCCCTGTGGACTTTAAACACCACTGTTCTTCCTTCAGGGCCCCATAAAGTGTCCAGTTAGCTCCTCAGACAGAGTGGCATAGAAGGAGGGAGTCCCTGAGCTAACTCAGCACCAGCGCAGGCGCTGAGGTTCTGGTGCCTTTCCTCCAGCTTCCCTTTCTCTCTAGCTCCCTTATCATGGCATGAATCACCTGTCCTGTCACTGCCTGATTACATCTCTGTGTTCCTTGTAGCGCATACATTCGTGAGCATGTAGTTTGGTCTTGTCCACTGCAGTGTCCCCAGTGCTGCCTCCATGCCTGGCACAGGGCCGGTGCTCAGCAACCATGAGCTGCATCAACATAAACATGGCTGTCAGGGAAACATGTTCTCAGGCATAGGGCATCCTTGATTCAGGAGTGGGCTGAAGAACCAGGAGTGATTCACAGAAACCTCACCCTGCCTCTCCACACCGGTGTCACCCCTGTCCCGGCCTGTGTCCCTGCAGGGATGTGTTGCATCGCTGGAGAGAGAACACAGTGGCCCACATGGAGGAAGCAGAGAAAACCTCTCGAGCAGTTGCTCACTACAGAAGGAGCCTGTGTTTCAAGGTGAGGCACGGGAGCCAGCTGGTCACCCGCGAGGGTTCGGGACCATGCTTCTACAAGATGGTGTGGGAGTTGGTGCCGGGGATTTGAACTGAACAAGGAAACCAGAAAACACGAAAACTCCTCCTCTGCCATGTGAGCAGTCGGGTTTTATTTATTTTACTGAATTATGAACCAGTCTTCATTAAAATCAGAACCAGTATTTTCCATATGTGTGGACTTTTCCACTGGGGGAAACTGCTGAAGTCACCATGCCCCCCGTCTCTGCGTCTGTCGGAAGAGGACGCTCGCTCCTGTGCGTCAGCCCCACAGGTTTCACGGCCAAGGGACTTTCTGGAAAGCATAGAGCATCTCAGGAATGTGAGGCAGTTGGTCACTGCTGATAGGAAGTGGCCCCAAAATGCCCTGTGGTGGGGTCTGGTCCCTCAAGCTGGGGGAGGGGAGGGTGTGGCAGGACACGCTATGGGAAGAAGACGTGTTACAAGACAGGGGACTCAAAGCAGATGAAATGACAGAGGTGGTGTCTGGACTCGGGGACGCTTTAGAAGAAAGCGGGGAGCCCTGCTGGCAGGACTGCTCCTAACACCTGGGAAGCATCCGCAGATGAGGAACATTGCATATGGTCTCGGCCCAGCCTGTTCTCGGGATAGCTCCGAGGCCAGCGTGTGGGTTCCCTGCTCTGGAAGGAGGGTCAGGACTCTGCTTGGCTTCATGGCTCGGAGGGGAGGAGGCCTTTTTGGGGTGAATGGAGTTTGTGATAGTTTGGGGAGCAGGCACCAGGCGTCCCCTAGCTGCTTGACTTTTCAAAGTGCTCTGTTTCTGTGATTTTCTAAGTCCCACATAATGGTAGTGTGCGCATAACATCGTTTCTGTCAAATAAGTAGAATGAAAGCCCATTGTGTCTTCACGGCATGGTGTGACCTTTAACTCTTGGTAGGAAATGCCATCACCTGAGGTTCTGGGCTTCCTGTGCGGGCCCTGGGGCTCTGCCTGGTGCCTCCTGGACTGTGGTCAGCGCCTTGTGTCCACCACTTGGCCTCCTTCCAGGAAGGCGCTGCCAGCAGAGCTGGGAGTCCCCAGGACGTGCTGTGACCGCCTCGCTGTTCGTTGTCTGCCTCTTAGGTCTTGGTCCAGTGGCGGGAGGCCGCGTCAGTGCAGATATACTACCGACAGCAGGAGGACTGTGCCGTCAGGGAGGCCCAGAAGGTGCTGGACAGGCGTAAGTGGGGCCCCTGGAAGCTGAGGAAGGATGAAGGACCCAGAGCTGTCACATTGCGCTGTTTGCCTCCCTGGAGTCTTTGTCTCCTTCTTGTGTACTAGTTTCCTGTTGCTGAGGTAAAGCACCTCAGACTGGGAGGATTAAAACAACAGAAAGTTGTTCTCCGAGTTCTGGAGGCCAAGTCTAAAATCAAGGTGTTGGCAGGGCCATGCTCCCTCTGAAGGCTTAGGGAGAACCCTTCCTTGCCTCTCCCAGCTTCTGGGGGCTCCCAGCAGTCCTTGCTGTTCCTTGGCTTGTAGACGCATCACTCTGGCCTTGGCCTTCATCGTCACTTGGCTCTTCCCTGTGTGTTCCTGTCTCTTCTTCTAAGTCAAGTCACACACTATCAAGGAAGGGCCTACCTTACTCCAGTGTGATGTCACTTATTACACTGCAGCGACCCTCTCACCAAACAACATCAATTCTGAGGTTCCGGGACGGACATGAATTTGGGAGGGTGTAACTGTTTGAGCCAGTACATCACAGCATTCTCCTCCCAACTGATTACTAACCAGTTTGTTACAAATGAAAAGTCAAGGCTTGAGATCTACATCAAAACGAGGAAATGAAGTTGGAATGGAAGAGTTTGAGGGAATGGAGGGATGGTTGTGACAGGAATTCCTTCCAGTGGCTGCTGCTTATCAGGTCAGCCTCATCATGGGAGGGCCCTGCTCCCTCCTATAGTTGGGCCCTTGGGAGCAGGGACTTGCTCAGTTGGCCTCAGGTAGTCCCACTACCTGCAAAACAGACAGCCTGGGGAAGACAGTCTCTGCCTGTGAGATACCCGGGAACTGGTCCTGCAGCGTGGGACCTGACACTCAGGGGACAGCCTACAGTCAGGACAAGTACAAATGCAAATGGAAATGGTTTAAGTCAAACTGTAGAGAAAACAGATCAAGTCGTTATGTTGGCTTGACAGAGTTTGCTCCAAGACAAGAATTCAGCTGTGGTTGGGCTAACATGTTTGTGTTGATGAACACAGGTCTCACTTTCCTCTAGGCAGAACTCTGGGTTAAACGTGCTGCTCTGTGTCCTCAAGCTGTCCTTCACCCCAGAAACCAGTTGCTGTTTCTAGTTCACTTCCAAGAAAGCAGCTGAGGGGCTCAGCCCAGCCCTTGGTCTCTGCTTATACAGGGGTGTGGCACCTGGTGCTGCACAGGCCTCGGCAGCTTGGGTCAGTGCACACTCCTGGCCCAGGCGGCCACTCCGGGGAGTTAGAGGAAATGGGCACAGGACTCTGGGGCAGGTGGCTTTCCTTAGAAGGCAGTCCCTGGGATTGCCATGTCCATAAGAAGCTCGGGAGACCTGTGACAAGACACTGGTGTTCTCAGCACATAGTAGATGTGCATTCGCTACCTGGGGGACCATATCTTGGCTTAATTAAGGCCCCGAGGTGTGGGCACACCTTGGCAGTCCGAGCATGGGGCTGGGCACTGGAGGGTGAACTAGGAGCAAGGTGTCATCATGAAACAGAGGCTTAAGAAGTACAGGCAGGAGTCAGATGCTGGCTGTGCAACCTGGGCTAGTCCTCTCTGAGCCCTCGTTTCTCCATCTATGAAATGGGGATAATGCTCCCTGTCCCTTGGGGTTGTCATGAGGACCCAATGAGAATAATATATATGCACTTAAGCAGGGCCCAGGAAGTGTCAGCATTTAGCACTAATGCTTGGCCTCCAGGCTTGTGCATGCCGCCCTCCCTGTTCCTCTGGCATCAGTGCCCTGGTGTCAGCCCTCTTCGGTTGTCTCTGAAAGAAACTTCTCTCAGGGCCTAAGAAAGTAAAAATTCTAAAGTAAACAATCACCCTTCCTCTGTCTAAAAAAAAAAAAAAAAATCAGCAGAAGGAAGTGTTTGCTTCCTCAAGAGAGAATCTGGTGACACAGAAACAAAATGCAGGATGCGGCCCTACCTGGCTCAGGCTGCTTGGACTTCTCTGAGCCTCAGTTTCCTACCTGGCACAATAGGGCCACCGTCTCACACGGTCAGACAGAGGGTCTTCTGGGTCACGCAGCAGCTCTTGCAGTCACTCTGAGGGACCCTGGCACATCTGCAGTCTCGGCTCATGGGCCCTTGGGAAGGTCACACCAGCAAACAGAAGACCTGGTTCCAGTCTCCAGGGTGCTCAAGGTTGCTGAAGGTGGCCAGAGCTGTCCTCAGAGGAGTGTCCACACGTGGTGGTTTCACCCAGTGTGGGATGACACCCCAACTTTGTCCCCACACAGCCTTCTTCATTCTGCACTCTAAATTTGGTGACGTAGTCATGCAAATAGACCCTAGAAAAGAGCAAACTGATTCGGTCTGCCTCAGGCTGTCTCAGGACCTGGTTTTGGCACTGGCGGGACCGTGGCCAGAGAGCAGCCCAGCAGAGAGCCCAGCTGGAGAGGGCAGCACAGCATCACCGTCGGCAGCTACTGCTGCAGGGCCTGGACCGGTGGAAGGTGCACCATCTGGGCTGCATCAGGAAGAGGGTGAGGCAGGCTGCAACTCCCCGGTTCCCTTGCGCGGGCGAGCCCTTCCAGGCCGGGACACCAGGCCCCAGGGAGGAAGAGGTCCTTCCCGCAGAACTCAGGCAATGCAGCCAGTATGGCTGCTGGGTGGTCTGGGTCCTATGGGCACAAGGTTCAGGAGCCTTTCTGGGATGGCTGGGGGGATGGTACCTGAAGATCTGGTCTCTCCCACATGAAAAACAGTTGAGTAAAAGCCTCGTTCACCCTGAATCGAGGCTTGTCAGAGCGGGGGACCTGTGGAGTCATCTAGAAGCCCCTGCCTGGTGCAGGAGGCTCTTGGCTTCATGAGGATACCTGGCAATGGGAGAACCATTTACTTGGGCAGAACTTCTCACTCTGTGGCTGCCCCCAGGTGGTCTGGGTATGGGGCACCTTTTAACGCAGCTCCCTGTGCACCCACTCTCCGTTCAGCTCCTGCAGAGGCAGGGCGCCCGACTCCTGGTCCATACACTCGTCCGGTCCTGCTTCCTCCAGTGGAGACAACAGGTGGGAACTTGACAAACCCTTTTCCCCAGGTGTGCCCCCCACCCGACATTTCTGGGTATTGCCAGCTTCCGGGCATCGCCAGCTTCCATCCACCTGTGACTGTGTAAGGCAGAGTTACTTCAGGGCCCTGTTTCTATGTGTCACATTGAAAAATATATCAGAGGCCCTGGCTGGTTTGGCTCATCAGTTAGAGCGTCAGCCCGTGGACCAAAGGGTTTGATTTTCGGTCAAGAGCACATACCTGGGTTGCAGGTTCAATCCCCAGCCCCAGTTGGGGTTGTGTAGGAGGCAACCAATCGATGTGTGTCCCCCCCCACTTACTTCCCTTCCACTCTATCTAAAATCAATGGAAAAATACCCTCCAGTGAGGATTAATAACAAAAAACCCCATGAGGGTAGTAGTCAAAAAGTAATGTGAAATGCATTTTAATCTTCATGAGGCCTTGATTGAAATGCCAGGCAGGATTGTATCCAGCTCAGCAACCCTTGACGCGCACGGGTCCCTCACTCCTTGGACTGCAATGTGAGGGCGGCCCCAGCTTTTCTTGCCAGCCCAGCATGCTGCCCACCTGCTCCTCCCCCAGAGCTGTGTGTTCTTTCCAGAGGACAATTCCTCAAGGGGTCTGAGAGTGACAGGGCCCTGTGGTCAGGCTGGCCTCCCCGGAGGTGCTATTTCGGTAATCTCTTCTTCCTGGCCCATAGCTGGTGAACAGGAGGCGGGAGCAGCAGGACACAGCCCGGGCCCTGTGGTTCTGGGCCTTCTCGCTACAGGCAAAGGTAATGGGGGCTCTATACCCCGCTGCCCCTGCTCTTCCCAGGAGAGGACTGTGCCTTGGTGGAAGGTAGGGTGGGTTGTGGGCTCAGCCCCTGGGGAAGCCTAAGCAGGGAGAGCTGGGGCTCACCTCCTCCTCCTCCTGGAGGTGTGGGCTGCGTGGCTGGGCTTTGTGCAGGAGAGGAGGAGGAAGAAGGCACGGCTGGAGCGGGCAGTGCAGACCTACCACCAGCAGCTCCTCCAGGAGGGTGTCATGCGCCTCCTGCGGTTTGCAGCTGGCATGAAGGCCCTCCGGCAGCAGCTGCATTGCCAGCAGCAGGTGCAGGTAGGCCCAGGGTACCCTCACTTTCTCGTGGGGAGTGGGCCGGACATGGCATGACCTGACAGAGGCTGTTGCAGGCAGCCCACAGTCTCCACCGGGCAGTACATCGCTGTGCCATGCTCTGGAAAAGGAAGGTGCTGGGCCCAGGCAGGGGGCCTCAGCCTCCCACATCCACCATGCCCAGGAGAGTGACATTCAAGGGTCCCTTTCCCGACCGCATCACTGCTGGTGCTGGGGATGCCGCCCTGGAGACCACGAGGCCACGAGCTCCTCGTGGGCCACTGGGAGCTCTGGGCAGCCTGGCGCCGAATGCCGGGGACCCCCAACTCCTGGAGCTGTGAGTAGCTATCTCTTGTCTCTTTGTCCCATCTGTGGGTCACTGCTGAGTCATAGGGACCCTTCTCTCCAGCAGGACGTCTCTCCTCAGCCCTGGGAGAGAACACAGCAAGAGGGCAGCCCCACCCTTCTGCCCCCAGACCTGCCATTGTCCTGCTTCTCCCCTTACAGCCAGGAAACTGGGCTCCTCTCGGAAACCCCACTTTTTATGCTCTGGCCCCTGCCCCATACCCACACGCTCTGCTGATACAGCCGTTTGTGTCCAGAGTGCCCAGTGCTGCCTGAGCCTGGGGGAGAGGTCACCAAGGGGAGAGGCACCAGCCTGGGCCTTGGTCCTGCTCTGTCTGCTTCATCCCCCACCCTGACCCTAACAATGGCCTGTTCCCCTATGATGTGGGACAAACAGCCACATCACCAGGGTTGCTATAGAGGTCAAAGGAGATGATGTGTGTGGGTGAGACATCAGCCTCGCTTCATTAGAATTGCTAGAAGTTCTTTGTGGTCCAGAACCATCATCCTTTCCTTCTCTGGCCTTAGTCTCCCCGTAAGATTAGAGGGGCTGGATTGGATGATGGCCCCTTACCCCACAGAGGTCTCAGGCCCCCTGCAGCCCCTGGGCAGCTTGGAGGAACAGGCCCATGTTTCTTCCCAGCAATGCTGTCCGCTCAGCAAGGAAGCAGCCACGACGCCCAAACTTCTTGCTGGAGCCCTTGCAGAGCCGGAGGTCCCTGGGGTGTGGCACCATCAGGGGGCAAGGGTAGGTCATGTAGTCCCTGGGCCCTCAAAAATAGATGGTACCTCCATCCAAGGCTTGTGATTTGGGGTCTGAGGGTGAGTGGCCCTTTTATTCCTGTTTCATAGGAGGGTACTGAGGTCTGACCAACTCCTGCCTTCCCTCTGCTTAGGCCTGAGACACTGAGGGAGCAAGGCCTAGGCATGGCCCAGCCAGCAGGCCCTTCCCTGACGAGGCCCTTCCTGGAAAAGACTCAGACAGTACTGGTCCCCAGTAGCTCCCTGCCCCAGGCTGGGGCCCTGCCAAGTGCCCCTGGCCGGAAGCTGTCCCCCATGGCGAGTGCAGGCCCAGAGCTGCTGACCCCTTCCTCCTTCATGCCCTGTGGAGTGGACGCACCCACTAGGGTAAGTCCTGTCTGGTCGTCTGAAGTTCATTCTGCGGTCTGGTCTTCAGTGCTCTGTGTCATGCACTCGGGTGCTGCAGCCACAGCTGTCCTTGCTGCTTCTGGAACACTCCCACCTCAGCAAGACGCAGCGAGGCCCCTCATTCACTCACCAGATGTACGTGCCACAACTAGGGCCTAGTGAACAGCCCGCGGGGCCCTGCTCCTGAGGTGTCCCGCTGGTGGAGGCTGCAGATCCTGAGGGTCATACAGGCTCTGGTGAAAGTTTGGGTTTTAAGGAGAGTAGGAAGTTGTGGAGGATGGTTGGCTTCTGTGATCAGATGGCCTGGCAGAAGGTGCTGGCAATACCGTGGTGGGAGGCAGACTAGGCAGGACTTGCTCTGATGGGTTTGATACGAGTGAAGGAAGGAGCCTGGCTCGGATAACTCAGGGAATAATGAGTTATTTTACTGAAAGAAGGAACAGTGGGGTCCCATTTGGGGTGAAGCATGAAGTTGTTTTGTACCTGTCAGACTTGAGATAAAGCAACAGGCTTGCGAGTCTGGCCTTCGGGGAAGAAGTTGGGTCTGGAGATCAAAGTTGAGAATTGAAATCAAGTTGTCAGGCAGGGGAGTGAGAAAGGAGGAGTGCTAAGTAACGGAGGGGGCAGCAGTGGGGTTGCACCCCGAGGAGCTGGTGCCTCAAGAGAGCCTTGGGAATGGTGAGAGAGACATTGTTCTCACCAGGAGGGAATCGGCTGTAGGTGGGTGTTGGACATTTACAGCTGCCTCTGATCACTTCCTCACTGAAAGACAAGATCACAGTTCAGAGCGAGCAGGGGTGAAAGATCAGGAAGGCTCGAAACAGCTGCTTGGAGCAGGGCTGAGCCAAGCCCTGCAGAGGGTGGGGTGATCCTTGGGTGGTTTGGTGTCTGGTCCTGAGGGAAGAAGGGCAGGGCCAGGACTCTGAGTGAGCTGGCTATGGGAAAGCCCAGCTCCTGGGGCTTTGCCTACCCTACCCCTGGCACCCTGTCCCAGGCCTTCCTCCAGCTTCCCTGCTCAGTGTCCATCCTTCCTTTATAGGCATCAACATCACTGACCTTCCCTGGCCTTACGCCCCAGGCTCCTCTATCCCTAGCCTGTCTCCCTAATCCCCACCTGCTCCTTCCTGGAGACCTCACAGGCCCCCGGCTTGGGCCTGGCTCTGAAGCTGCAGGTGTGTACCTGAGGTCTGGCAGCACAAGCATTCAGCCCACTCCCAGCACCTGGGCGCCCTCCTTTCAGCCTGGGCCCAGCTGGGAGAGTGGTCAAGATCAAGCTTCTCCTGTTGCCATGGGCCACACTGACCTGGAGGCTGAGCTTGAGGGCATCCAGTGGCAATTGCAAGACTACCAGAGCATGAAGCAGAACCTCTGGTAAGATCCAGAAACCCCTGCCCACAAGGAACAGCTGGCTGCTGGGGTCCTAGGGGTGATTCACCTCTACTGTGTGCACTGCCAGCCCCCCTGCACACAGGTGGCACCTTTACCCCAGTCCTGCTCAGGAAGGCCAGGTTGGCCTTACCTGTGGGATGGGGACACAACAAAGCTGAGCGAAACTTGAAACATCACTGGATCATGTGAAAGCTGGGCCAGAGGTCTACCCAGTGATTGAGACATGGGATGAAAAGGTGCAAAGACAGGCCTGGGTCCCAGCTATAGAGAGTGGTGCTGTCCTCTCTTGCTTGTGGTCTAGGTCCATAGTCTGTAGCCCCCAAGCCCAAGCTGGGGACCCTCACCCTTGGAGGAGCAGGGACAGGTATCCCCCTGGGTCCAATCTGAGTTGCTGTCCTCCAGACAGTGCAGAGGCTGGGAGAGGAATGGGAATTACCCCCCACCAAGAAGCCCTAAGCCTGAGGCTCCACCAAGGGCCAAGCTAGGCACACAGCAAGTATCTCAATGCCTCAGGTCCTACCAGCGGCAGGCAAGCAGCCTACGCCAGTGGCTGGAGTTGAGCCGGGAGGAGCCCAGGCCTGAGGACCAGGAAGCTGAGCAGCAGGTGCAGGAAGAACTGCAGGAGGTGAGGTCCTGGGCAGTCCTGGGATGGGCTCTGGCTGTGCTTCCTCTCAGCACGGCCTGTCCTTTCCCGGCCCCCAGGTGGAACTGCAGATCCAGCAACTGGCTGTGGAGCTCCAGGCCCGGCGCCAGCCCATCAAAACCTGCATCTCCCGTGTGCAGGCCCTGTACCAGAACCATCACCCACTAGGGAGGTCTCAGCCCACCTCCAGGAACAGAATGCAAAGCTAAAATAAATTTTATCTTTTTATTTCAAAATGTTGCAATTAAATGAATTATGGTTCAGAAGTCTCCCACTTTTCTTACAAAAATACTGTGCTACTGATACAGTTGAAAAAGTTCAAATGGCTTCTCCTGCAGGAGAAATTCTGAGTCCCCAGGAGACATGAAACCTGGCCCTGTCCTCGCCATCAGCGGCTCCCTAAGGACTGCATACCTGTTGCTTGGGGACAGATTTTCTAGGCACTGACCCTGCCTCCCCACCCCGATACACCAAGGCTCCTCTCTGCCCCCAACATAAACCCCTGAATCAATAGCAGCAACTTTCCCATATTTAATGTAGGTCTGGATCTGAAAAGGGGACACAAGCTCTCCCCTAGTCCCAGTGTGGCCAACACTACCTGACTGCCCCATTCACATGGGACACTGGCAGGGGGGGTTCAGTAACTGGTCTTGAAAGCGCCAGAAGGTTGCTCTCTGGGATCTGAAGAGTGCCTCGCAGTTTAGTCACCCTCCTCGGAAGACGCTGGCAGAGTCGGGTGATGTATTCACCACCAGTGTGAAGACGACAGCTTTCCCAACAAGCAAGGTGGGGCGAATTTGGAAACAGAAAGCAGTTACAGTAAAGGCTGTGTGGTCCTGCTCTGGGGCAGGCGGGCCCACGGTCAGTGCCAGGAGGCACCTCACCCGTGCAGGGAAGGCCGAAAGCAGTGACGGGAGGAGCAGCAGAAAGGTACATTCCCGCTTACCATCCTAACAGAAACCAAGACCAACGGAATACTCAGCCAGGTTTATACGACAGGTTAAAACCTCTCCAAAAGGGAATCCGAGATCATCCCGGCACTCACTCCTCTTCAGGGTGGGAAGAAGGAACGACATAGGTCTAGGGCACAGTGGGGCTCGGGCCTCGTCTGCACCTCTGGGACAGCAGTCACCAGGTCCTGCCTGGTCAGACCCTGGTCCTGAGAGAGTCCCCTCCTGACAGCTGAGGAGGTTCCCTTCAAAGGGATTCCCACTTCTCTGTTCAGGAAAGATCCCTCAGCAGCAGCAGCCAGGAAAGAGGCTTTAGATTAGAGGGAGCCCAGAGCCTCCCCAAATCTGATTTTCTGTCCTGCTTTCAGCTTGAAATTGAAGTCCTTGGGGGCCTCGAAGATGAGCACAATGGTGGAGCCCAGGTTGAACTCGCCCAGGTGTTCGCCCTTGCGCATGGGGATGCCCTCCTTGTTGGCATGCGTCACAAAGCTGAAGTCGTTGTAGGAGCCCTTGCTGTACCGTGGGCTGTTCGTGTGCAGGTCCTGGGGGAGGCCAGGGGCAGAGTATGTGGAGACCTGCTCTCTGGGCCTTGAACACACCCCTGCAGCCTGTCCCCAGTCCAGCAACTCGGCCCATGGGCCAGGTGTCTAACCAGACAGTTCCTGACACCCACTATGAACTGGGCCTCAGGGATATAGAGGAATCAAACCCCACCGTTCTCTAGCACAAATGATGCTGCAAGACCAGCACCTAGGGAGCAAGGGGCAGTCACAAACTGACACCAAGAAAGTCCCTCCCTCTCCAGCCACCTCCAGAGAGGACACAGGGGTGGGTGTGTCAGCACTTCTAGACCTGAGGGAGCTGGCTACACAGGAGACAGGGCAGTGGAACCCCAAGTGGCCTAACCATTGGGCTTCACCAGGGCCTGGGCTCTGCTTACCCGGTCGAAGTAGATGCGAATGGAGCCCACGTTGGTGGCCCCCACAGCTGTCAGTGAAAAGAAGCCATGTTTCCAGTCCCCAGTCAGGACTACCCGCTCGTTGTGGCAGAAGAGTTCTTTGATCCAGCGGGCCATGCCAGGGTTCACGGACATCAGGGAGCCTGTGAAAGCAGGGACACTGCTGCTCCCCGCCCAGCAGGAAGACCAACCTCCTGGAGCCCAATGGCACCCCCATGTCACTGCAACTACAGAGTAGGCTGGACCCCAGCCTACCCCCCCTGCTGCCCACACCCAGCCAGGCTAAAGCAGTCAATTCCCAGCCTTAGCACCCCATCTCTGCAGCCTGGGGTTCAGAGAGGCCACTCTCAGCCACGGGCCGCCCTGGCCTACCTGGGAAGTGGCGCCGGTGGGACACAGTCCAGTCGGTGGGGGAGTGGAAGCAGTGGTAGTCCCCGGGGGCCAGGTAGATGACGCAGTGGTAGAGCTCATTCCCTTCTTGGGTGACCAGCTGGTTCCTGAAGGAGCTGCAGGAGGCGGCTGTGGTGGGCAGACACGAGGAGAAGGCCATCAGACAGGCACCCAGTGCTACCCAGCTTGGGGCCTGCGTGTAGTCTGGACACGGGCTCGAGGGAGGCCTCGAAGCTCTGGGCAGAGCGATTCCTGGTTCAGGGGCAGCCCTCAGTTCCTACAGCCTTCTCAGAGTCCCTTCCCTCCCCAACCCATTCCAACCTTCACCCTCCAACCTCTGGCACAGCCACACTGCAGCAGAGCGACCAGGTTGTGACCAGGCAAGGACTCACCTGGTGGGAAGGGCAGGTCTTCCACAGAGGTTCGAGGGCCCAGGAATGACTCCAGCGAGTAGGTGACCCCCTTCACCTGCTCCACCTCAGAGTTCTTTACCTGCCCAAAGTTGAGGATCTTCCCATCCGATGGGCTGATCTGGAAGGGCCAGGAGAGGTTTACTGCCAGGGATGGGAGATGAGAGGACACAGAGGAGGAGAAGGGACCTCTTCTAATGCCTACACTGATGGCCCCGCCTGGCGGGGCAACACCCTTAGACCACCCATGGAGGCTGTTGGAACTGATTCCCACAGGCACAGGATAGAATCACATTTCTGGAGGGAGGAGTGGAAGGCAGGGTTGGGCCTCACCACACTGTGCAGGCAACAGACAGGCCGGGCCTGCGGCTTCAGCTTGCGCCGGAAGAACTCGCTGAGGTTGCGGTAGTGGTGCAGGTCCTCCACGGCGGCCTCCTTCATGTTCACCCCGAAGGTCCAGATGTACAAGCTATAGACGGGCCTGCGCAGCCAGTGTGGCAGCTCCACCTGGTTAAGACGGCCCCAGGCTCGAGACAGCAACCGTGTCGGCACTGACTTGTACAACGCCACCTGCAGGCCACAGGCAGGCAGATGAGTCAGCCAGCTTCCAGCCCACTGCCCTCCTCAGAGGGGGCCACTTCCAGAGGCCTTGGGCAGCCCATGTAGGCTTTGTGATGTGGTTGTTTCTCACTAGGAACCAGACTGAGCTTGCCAAATACTCTCCCAAACCGAGTACTGGCTGAGACCCTGACAGTGACAACTCAGGTGTTGCAGTCACTTTATGCAGGCCGAACGGCAGCCATCCTAGTCCCTGGGGAGAGAATGGCCAGCAGTCTTGTATCTTGAAGGGAGGAGGGAGCATAAATGGATCTGATACCATCACAGACAGGCTATGCAGGAGACAATGCCTGTGTCCTGGACCACAGGAAGGAGCAGGAGGCCCCTGGTGGACAGGAAAATCTACAGCCCCAAGTGTACATCCCTGTCCTAACACAATACTCCCTTGGTCAAGATCAGGGACTTTGACATCATGCAGAGATGCTTTATCACTGTCGCCAGGGCCTGGTCACACCCTGCTGAGCCTGCCCTGCCTGGCACTCAGAGGCATTCTCCTGTGATGGGCCAGGCCACAGGGCTTTTTGCACTCGGGGCTCCTCCCAAGAGGAACAAGGGAACCAGCCCCTCCAGCCACACTCTCTGGGCCAGGTGACCCATCTAGGAGCTGCTGACATAATGGGACCTGCCTCTAATCATCAGCTGTTGCTTGTCTGAACACAACCAAGATACCAAGTCCCCAAGGTGTAAAAGTAATTTCATTCCAACTTAAACACCTCTAGGAGGTATTGAATCAGTGCCTCCCAGAACTCCTCCCAGCTGACGCCTGTACATTGGAGTGGCCACAGCTGTGTGACTCCAGGTCTAATGCCCAGAGCTCTTTAGCTTTCAAGCCCTCCTGACACCCTACCATGGCTGTCCAAGGGCCAGAAGCAGGGTCTCCTCCTTGAGGTCAGCCTGCCCTCCAGGGAACTGGCCAGGGCTCCCAACCTCAAAGGCATCTCCACCCTAAGAGGCCCAAACAGGCTCCAGCCTTCCTGAACCACCCTCTGACACCAATTTAGTTTTCTCAAAATACCTCTAAACTCACACAGGAAATCAGAGACACCATTTTCAGAATGCCCACTAGGGGTTCCTTCTAGAAGCAGAGCCCCTAACGGCACAAATGCAGGCAGAGAGCTGGCAGTGGACAGCAAGCCGGCTCACACAGCCACCGACCAGCACCCCGTTCTGGAGGGCTCAGACCCCACAACCATCACTTCTTATCTGACAACTGTCTCTCCTAGGTCTCCTGTGTCCCTACCTCAGGCTGCCTGGGGGTGGTCTGGGCCAGCAGCCTGCACACACTTACCCTGCTCACGGGCCTCCATCCCACCCGGCTGAGCGGTCTGAGGGCACCGAAGGGCAGGAGGTAGTAGAGGACCGTCAGGGGCCAGGAGCGCAGTTTCAGGGCAGGTCTGGACATGCAGCTCAGCTGTCCCAGCCTCCGTCTCAGGGCCAACTGGGGGAAGTGCAACCTGCGGGGCACATGTCCACTCATGACTGGGGTCAGCAGAAGGGTCTAGGAGCTCCCATCCCACCTTTATGAAGCCCACTTCTCAAGTCCAGCAGCACTGGCCATGCCTCTCACTTCCCAGTCCCTCACACCTGCCTGCCAGCTGGGAAGGACTGGAGATGTCAGCAGCTGAGACATAGAGGCTGAAGTCCAGCTCCTAACCTCTCAGAAGCAGCAGCTCTGAACACAGGAGCGGCCCCAGTGAGGCCCTTCAGAGCCAAGCACCACCTGGGCCTAGTGCAGGGAAGACAGGGTGCAGAGCCAGCTTCACAGCCCCTACCCTCCTGGGGCACCAGGAGACAGTCTGATTTCCCAGAGCCCCATCAGCAAAGCCACACATAGGCGTGGGGGAGCCACTGCAGGATCTGGGGAAACCTATTTATGGCTGCAGGCCTCTTATTTCCTCATTTGAGATATTAAGGGATTGGGCCTGAGAAGATAAAGAAAAACTCACACACACACACCCCTAACAGTTACTGCTCCATCCACCTACAGGGTCATTCTATACCAGGTCAAGTTCTCCAAAACTGACCCAGAAATTGGTAGGGAGAGCCTGTCCCCATCTCAGGCCACCTGAGGTCTGCTGGGGCCACACACCTGACCCAGGCCCCTCCTTCCAGCAAAAGAGAGTGGGCCTTTCCCCAGGCCCCACCAGCCCAAACCCAGCGTGCTCAGCACAGGCGCAGCCTTTTCCACCAGAACCCTGGCCTCCCGAGGCACATCAGTGAGGCCCATGTCCCCTCTCACAGGCTGAAGCCCCAGAAAATGCTCCTGAGGCCCTAGTGTAGCCATCAGGAGGCTACAATGCCACCCACTGTGAGAATGTTCCCAGGCCTCAGCTGCAAAAAGACTACATTCATCTGGATGATCTATGGCCCCCATCTATGCCAGTGCACTCTCAGAGAGGCTGTGTCCTCTGCCCCCACTTGCTAAACAGACCAAGGAACAAAGGCATCTCAGCTGATAGGAAAGCAGAGAATGGAGAACGGAGCCAAGGCCAGGCCCGGTTCAGTGCCGGCAAAGAGGCTGCCGCATCCCCCGCTCCCGACCCCATCCCCGCGTCCATGCTCTCACCACCCCCATTGTGTTTGTAAAAGGTCTGGCTGCTGATTGGGGGGGGTGGGGGGGCAAGCAAAGCCAAACAAATCACTGCTCCCCCCTCCCACTGCCCGCACCTGCCCTGCTCACTGCAGAAGCACAAGGACCAATCCTGGAAGAGCTGCACCGAGCAGGGTGGGGGCGCTGGGGGGGTGGGGAACAGCAGTTTGGGTGCAGCACAGACACTGGGCCACCAGCCCGCTCGGCCTCCCCAGTACCTGAAGCGAGCTCTCCGACTCAGGCCCCCAGGGCCGGGACCCTCCAACCGCGGGGGAGTCCCGGGGCCCCTGCTGCCACCTCCACTGCGGGGCCGCTGGACATGAACTCTGACCTTGTGGAGGTCGTGGCGGGGAAGAGCAGGGTTAGGAGGCCGCTGGCAGCATCTCACCATTTCGCCGAGCTGAGCTCAGGTCCTCGCCTCGCCTCTGACTGACACATGGTGGGCGGGCAGGGAGGCGGTGCCAGCAGGATTGCCTTTGTTCCTCCTCCTTCCGCCCTTCCCCCCAAGGAGCTCCTGCGCCGTCACTGCTCCACGGTGGCTGGTGGGCCGCTTCCTCTGCTCAGAGACTACAGGGTGGAGCTGGGACTATTGCAAAGACAGGCACTGGTCACACATCTGCTCCGGGCCTGCAGCACCAGCCCTAAGCTTGGCCCACTGTCTCCGGGCTTGGCCACCAGCCTGCTCCGGGGAGCTGATGGCATGGAGGGGGCCAGGCCCCTCTGGGCTCAAGGAGCACAACGGGAATCTGAGCCCTGCACTCCAGGCAGGCGCCCAGCGTCACCCTGTCTGCAGCTCAGGTGGCCCCTCCCTTGCCAGGCCCTGACCCATTTTCCATTCAGGTGATAAAGTAGCATCGGAGGAATGAGGGAGGGAAGGCGAGAGGTGGGCCTGGTGAGACCCTGGGCATGACCAGCTTTGGCTCTTCCTCATTGCCCATGCCCCTGCCTGTGAGCCCCCCATACTGGGCACTAACCATCAAGGCCTCCTCAGAAAATGAGCACCTGGGTGACATCAAGGAAAACCGATGTGGAGCTGGGAACAGGCCAGGAATGAAGTCCATACCTGCCCCCCTCCAACCTCCCCATCTTTACTTGGGAACAGGGACAGCACTCTGGCCAAGGGCCCGCATGCTATGGGGAGGACACACTGCCTCCACAAAGCCCTTCCCATCACCTCACAGATATCAGGGAAGGGGGAGAACAAACATTCCACGGCTGTTGCTGTCTCAGCCCTGGGAAGTCAAGGTCTTGGGAGGATGCTGCACCAGCCTGGCCTCCAATCCCAGCTGCAGGCTGGCAGGGGACAGAAGCCTGGCCACCTTTACAGGAAGTGTGAAGAAGCACCACTCCAGAGCGGCTCCAAAGGCAGAGAACCGACCCCGCAAGGCCAACGCATTGTGACCAGCCAGAGGCCCCAACTCAACATGGCTTTATCACACAAGGGAGACCACTGCCACCCAGTGAACACACCTCAGCCACAGAGGTGAAAAGGCCAGCTTGGCACTTGCCAGGTGTGCAGGGGCCCATGGCAGCCTCAAGTCTGAACATGAGCATGGATTTCTGCCCTGACCGAGGAGACAGTACAGCCTGGCCCACGCCAGACCAGAGCAGGTCCAGTTCACTGTGGGTGGTCCAGGCCTGACCCAGAAGCAGATGAAGGCACATGCCTCCTCTGGCCCCAAAGGACAGGCCCACAGCCCCATGGACAACCCTGCTTCAGGTTCTGGCGACCTCCAGCTAATAGTCCCATCCATGATGGTCAGGTCACCTCAACCACACCACCCACATGCTGAGTGTACCCCCACTCCTCCCTAGTCCACCAGGCCTTGGCCTCACATTGCTCCCCAGGAAAACAGGCCCACAAGGGGTAAGTCCAGATCAGGGCTGCCTCCCTGCCTCTAGAAACTAGAAAACTCAGACTAAGTGCACACCCAGGATTCACGGTGGGGGCCAGTGAGGAGGGGACAGGAGCCCAGCCGCTTCCTGCCATGGCGACCACTGCATGCTGTTGGAAAGGCACATTCAAGAACCCACAGACAAACCTAGCTTCTCTGGAAACCTCAGATCCTCAAAGCAGATGCACACACTTGCACTTCACTGTGCCCCGGGGCTGCCAGCCACCAGGGCAGGGCAGACTCCCCCTCTCCCCCCAGTGGAGGGAGCTCACCAGGAACCTGCCCAAGGATATGCAGTCCTGGAGAGACTAGAACTGCCCTGAAGGGTAGGGAAGGAGGTCCTGCCTCCTCAGTACCATCTCTGCCACTCTTCTACCTCTTCTAAATCACCATCTGTGGCTCTTAAAAGGGCTCCAGGAAGCAGACATGAATTCATCTTTCTCTCAGGAAATGAGCCGAGCGCCCTGTCCAGCTTAAAGCTGCAGGATGGAGGCAAGGGGATCCCTAGAGGTCACTCACTTCCCAAGGGCAGGGCCACTTCTATAGCCAGGAGTGCTCCAGGCTTCCCCATCTCTGAGCCCCATTTCCCTCCACACCTGTGACAGCCCTTGGAGCCCAAGCCAGAGCTTCTCCCTCTCTGGCTCGGCTCCCTGAGTGTGACTGGGGGGCAAGGGAGTGCCTCAGGCCCAGATGAGGGTGCTCTGCTAGGCACCTACTAGGAGGGTGCTCTGAAGTGGGGAAGGACGGACACCCTCCTCTCTCTATCCTAAGTCTCAAGGACACTCTGTGGAGGTGAGTTTTTGGCTGTGACCAGGACTTTAAGTCATTACAAGGCCTAAGGAACAGCCACATGGAACATGAGAACTAGCGGTGGCCTTGGTGGAGGACAGTGACAATTTGGTTACTGCAAATCCTGGCTGCCTTCCCACACTCCCATCCTGAGTAGGGAAAGGCCTTGCACACCACAGGGCTCTCTGAATGGTCTTTCCTCCTGCTCATCCCCTGGAGGCTCAAATCACAGCTGTGACCACGGCCCAGAACAACTCTGCTCAGAAACCCCATGCTTCCCTTCCATGCAAGAGTCAGTGCAGCCTCACGCCCCAGACCTGGCTCCCGACATCTCACCTTCCCTTCCAAACCCACACTCTGGGTGGACAGGTTTCCTCCTTTGTGAGGATGGAAGGAACAGGGTAGAGGCTGCCCCTATGAATAGGAAGAGATGGCTCAACAGGACCACTGCAGGGACATCTTTGTCAGGATGTACTGTTCTTGGGGGTTTCACTCGAACACGTCAACTGGAGGAGGACTGCCTGACCCAGGAAGTTACCAGCTACTACAGAGCGGGCAGGCCTGTGTGCTCCTGCCTGGTTCTCTAGGACCCTGGTAGATTCAGCAAAGCCAGGAAGGCAGGGAGGGCGTCAGAACTGACCACCCCTCCACTACCCCCCAAGAGGTTCTCCCCGAGCACAAAGGGCCTGGCAACCCTGGTCATGCCCATCTGAGAATTTGCTTCTGCACCCCGAGTGGAAATCTCACTGGGTGCCAGGGTCACTCCTCTTGAAGCCTCAGCAGAAACTCGGGCCCCCTAAACGTGTGTCTGCCACCTGACTTCTGTGTGCTCCCACCTGGAGGGCAGAGCCGCTTTCCCCTCCAGCTCCCCTGAGGCGCAGCCACCAGGCAGCTGTGTCCAGGTGAGGCCACCAACCCTTCCTCCTGTGTTCCAGGGCTAGAAACAGACAAAACTTCACAAGTAGGAATGGGGAAATGTATCTCCCAGTGAAATGGGTGAGCCATTCTGGGGAAGCCCTGGGCAAGAGGAAGCAAAGAGAGGGGCCCAAAAGCGCCTCTTTCAAGTCTGCACAAGGGAGGCCCAGGAAAAGTGGGTGGAGGTGGGGGCAGTACTCTCCCAAAGGAAAGGAACCTCTCAGGCAATCCCCGGAGCCAGCAGGGAACGGGGCTCGATGAAGGG